TTGCACATTCAAGAAAAAAACTTAGCACCACATCTAAATTGGTTTATCGCCCAAAAAATCATTCTAACAATGAAATATTAAACAGTGCTTTATCATTTTATTACAACCAATTTTTACACAAAAGTAAATGATAACAAATCATATGGTTAACATAATACACAAGTCTTTTATGAGAACATAACTGAAAATTTATGGTTAACACTTATTACAAATGGGAAGGAAGAAAGGAAGAAACAAAGGAAGGAAGAAATGAAGAAGACAGAAAGGAAGATAATGGGATGGAGGAAGGAAGGATGGAGAGTAAAGAGAGGAAGGAGAGTGAAGGAGGCAGAGAGCAATTAAAGAAAAAAGAAAACAGGAGTGAAGGAAAAGGGAAGGAGAGAGAAAAGGGACCATGAAGAAAGAGGAAGAAGCAGGAATTGAAATAGGTAAAGGGAAACCAGTCACTATATTACAGATTGACCAAAAGATACTGCAGAGCATATAAATCACTTTTGGTTGATAAGGTAACAAAACCTAAAGATAAAAGAAAATATATGTGTGTCCAGTCAACACATACAAGAAAATAGTTCCTTATCAAATATGGAAAATAAATTCTGACAAATGGAGAAGCAATAATCAAATATCTAAAATAAACCCTCAAAAAAGATATCTGAAAAAGATAACATGTTCTAAACTAGAACTCCGCGAGTCGGATGTGTCGCCTTGTGAACAATATTGTTTAGGAGGAGGAAAAATGAATTGAAGAAACAGAAGAAAGGAAGATAAATGCGAGATGCGTTTTGTTTGTTTGCTTTGCGTTTTACGTCACATCGAAGACAGTATAATCATATCACCACGTTCCAGCTTTACTGGTGGAGGCAAGACCTAAGGTGCCCTTACATGCATTATTTCAGGCACGAAACGGGTACCGAGTTTAGAACCACAGCACGTTCCTTTAACTAACCTTGAGATAGCTTCCTTTTACATTGAAAATCCTAAATCCCTGTTCGGAAATTCGAAACCCACAAGGTGAGGGGCAAAGTGGTTTGAAACCAATTCGGCCACGACGCCCTAATGGATTGGAGGACCAGGAAGGTATGCGGAAGATGAAGCGAAGGACGGAGAGAAGGCAGGCAGAGAGCAGAGTGAAGGGATGAAAAGACTTGAAGAAAGAGGAAAACCAGAATGAAATAGTAAAGAGGAAACCAGTCACTATATTACAGATTACCTAAAAGATACTCATGAGAGCATATTTAATACTTTTGGTTCGGATAAAGGTAACCAAAACTAAAAAATAAAAGAAATTAATCTTGTCACTCACTTTCAAGAGAAATTAGTTCCGTATTAAATATGGAAAATAAATTCTGACAAATGGAGAAGCAATAATTAAATATCTTAAATAAACCCTCAAAAAAGATATCTGAAAAAGATAACATGTTCTAATTAATGATCTCTTGTTATTTTAACATGACTGAATATAACATGAGAAATAAAGGAAATACACACACGCAAAATCAATAAAAGTAAAAATGTTCCACTCTTCTAGGCAAAATATGTTGCATTAATGGTTCAACATTGATGGCAAAAAAAAAACCTTTGCTAGTTTTGACATTGTTACACTTATAATAATGTAAACTAGCAATATTTACTTTACTGGCCAATCATTATTAACTTTGCAGCTCTATTGATGTGTATTCAGAGGCTATAGTATATGTGATTTTGCTATTCTAAGAAATACTAGTATGTCCAAGCTCAAATGAAATATATCATCAGTAATGGGTAGATCAACAAAAATTTCTATTAGATACCGGTAAACAAAAATTTCTATAACAAAAGTCAATAAACACACTATCATCTATAATAACACTTTGAAATACAGCAAAATCATTAAACACCTCTAGTTTAACAAATCATTGACTTTAAATATGACAATTTAGATATTTCATAATGACACAGATGTGATTGGTGATTTAAAATTGAAATGATTTTGTCACTGGATCTCAAGAATTGAGACTATAAGAACAGAGCTGTGTAAAGCTTTCAATTATACAGGATTAAGGCAGAGCTGCATAAACCCCTCAATATTTTGAAGTATAAGACATAGTTGTGGTTAGCCATAAATGATCTAAGTTATGTAACAATCTGCCTATACACTTTCAAAAATATAGGTTACAACAAGGTCCAAACTTATGACCATTTTCAACCATCAGTGGACAGTCTGACAGAGCTGTGTTCAAACATAAAACAATTGCTTGTACAAAATACACGTATGCACTTAAAAGCATCAATAATAAGGAGGAAAAAAACATAATTGCAACACCTCTTCAAAAACTTAATACAACAAATTTCATATCTTTGTACACTTTTCTTTAAAACACAAACAAAAAGTATGCAATAAAACAATCCCCCCTAAAAAAACAACAAAAAAAACCCATAAGCACCATAAACACAAAGTGTCACCTGGGAAAATGAACATAAATGAATCACTTTTTGTTAAATGATAATGAATATATCTGACCAATTTTGAAACAAGAATGACACTCGAACTAAATCATGAAGTGGGTGTTGTTTCTTTGGCCATTTAAAAAGTAAAGTATTTGTGACAATTATGAACGGGTATATTAGCAACAGTACCTGCTACAGTACAACAAATTTCTCCTAAGAGACTAAACATATGAACACTTTTGTACAATGAACACATCAAAATTAAGGTTTAGAGTAAAAACAGCATTACTTTTATACATTTACAAAATTTACACTATGCCTGAAATTGCAATTTATATATATACTAACAATTGGGATTATTCTAAAAAATACATTTGCTACCTGAAATGGATCCAGTTTTGAAACATGTCACTTTTCTCATGACTTTTATCAGAATAAACAAATCTTACAGAATGTATTTTCCAAAAATAACAATGATATATACTAATTTGGTTTTGTGGAATTTTTTCTATTGCATTTCCCCAGACAAATTTCAGACTGTCATTAATAATGTAAAAAACAAGTCTTTCTCATAGTGATCAAGACAACATGAAAACAACAGCAAAAGATCTGATTGTGGAACTTTGGATATTTCAGATCTAGAAGAAAACATTTAGACAAAAGCATCACAATGTACACAAAAAATGATTGACATTGACAATCACGAAAGCACCTTACTATATCAAACAATACTGACTAAAAATCATTGTGTCCTCCAGCAAAAATACTACTTTCTTCTCTATACAAATCACATCGCCAGCTTTCCAGCTGAAAGTATCAACGGGACTTGCCAAGCTTAACATTTGAACTGGCTCTACTTTAAGGGATTTCAATTTCAAAATACCAAAAAAGGGCAGGCTCTTAATTGTAAAAATAGACCTGCCATTATTACAACTATGGTTTTGCTAAGGTACTAAATCAGAGTTTGAAAAAGGTCAAGAAAAATATTGTTTAACAAGAGCTGTCGGAAGGACAGCACGCTCGACTATTCTAAGTGCTTGATAGTAAAAGAGCCTTGATAATGTTAAATTTTCTAAGTTCACAAAAGGGCTAATTTATTTTTATAAATTCATGTTATAGGCGTTAGAGAGAGTCTAATTATACAGTATTGGCTTGACTATTTGAAAGGTAATGTCACAAGGGTGTTTTATTGAGTATAATAATACTTATTACCTATGAATACATAAAATTGACAGAAAAGGTACAAAATTCTGGAAACAAAGTGATCCCTCTGAAGCACCAATCACAACAAAATAACATAAGAATTGCAGACTTGGTTTGATTGAGTCTGTACATGAGGGATAATGAAAAAGTGCAACACCCCTCACGCCCCCTTGCACCTGCTTGTTATTAAGATGTTTTATCAAGTAAATCACTGCTTTATTATTATGAATGCATTAAAATTGTCCCAAAAAAGGCACAAACCCTTCAGTTGTTATGGAGATAACACCTTACAAGCAAAACTTTACCATGAATTTTTTAAGTTGAAAAAGGGAAGAAAAATCAGCCTAAATGCAAGATAGAATTATGGATCTTTGTCAGTGACCTACAATTCTGACCCTAAATGCATATGTGAAGTATTTAATGAATATCTTTAATAGTTATTGAGATATGAAAAACTTGCATGTAAACATTAACCAAGAGACTAAGTAGAAAAGGGGATATGAATCAGCCTTAATGCAAGATAGAGTTATGGAACTTGGTCAGTGACATACAATTATGACCCTGAAATTATGACCCTAAGTAATTGTGTAAAGTTTCAAGTAAATATCTTTGAAGACCTTTAACCAAAATCTCTATGTTTCAAAGGGGCAAATAATTCTGCAAATATTGCAGACAGAGTTATGGAATTTTACAAAATGATGTACATTGTTACTATAAAAAAGTATTGTAAATTTCCATTGAATATCTCAAGCAATAATTGAGATATTTGACTTTACAAAAAAACTTTTACCAAAATTTCTAAGTTTCAAAGGGGCATAATTCTGTCAATATTGTAGGCAGAGTTATCCAACTTGTCAATCTGATATACCTTGTTACTATAAATAAGTATTGTAAGTTTCAATTGAATATCTCAAGCAATAATTGATAAATTTGACTTTACAAAAAACATTAACCAAAATTTCTAACTTAAAAAGGGGCATAATTCTGTCAATATTGTAGGCAGAGTTATCCAACTTGTCAATCTGATGTACCTTATTACTATAAATAAGTATTGTAAGTTTCAATTGAATATCTCAAACAATAATTGAGATATTTGTCTTTACAAAAAACTTTAACCAAAATTTCTAAGTTAAAAAGGGGCATAATTCTGTCAATATTGTAGGTAGAGTTATCCAACTTGTCAATCTGATGTACCTTGTTACTATAAATAAGTATTGTAAGTTTCAATTGAATATCTCAAGCAATATTTGAGATATTTGACTTTACAAAAAACTTTAACCAACGCAGACGCAGACGCTGACGCTGACGCTGACGCCGACGCCGGGGCGACTACAATAGCTCTCATATTCTTTGAATAGTCGAGCTAAAAACCATATTACTCTGATTATTTACGTCTCCTGACAAACGAAACCATTCCAGTTAATATTAAAAAGTGAATAAGACAATTTCTTTCTGTCTAAAAAATCTAGGTATAACCTAAAATATGTATTAGAGGGTCTATCATGTTTTACAAAAAAAATCATAAGCTACGATGCTGTAGGAAATGTTACAGTATCACATACTAACATTCTATTCCTTCAATATACGATTAATTGTTTCAGTAATCATTTTGTTACAATAATCAGCCAAAAATAAAGTCCAATGCATGCTTTCATAGAGACCTATTATCTTCTCAGTTTAACCTCATATTTTGTTGTTGGAAGCTTCACTTTTAATGTCAACTATCTTAAACATTCCTACATCTGCCTCGCTTGAATTGCCTTCTTTTTCTGTGTCTGTAATTGAACTTTTTCCTTCTTTTTCATTTTGAGTTTTATCTGGTTCACTTAAAATGTCTTTTTCTATTTCCGCTTCATCTTCCAATACATCTGGAGGAGAATTTTTGTCATTACTAAGATCTTCCTTTTCTTCTCTTGTCTCTTTTTCCAATCCAAATGGATTAAGTTCATGCTCTTTTTCTGCCTCCATATATCTAGAAGTCATTTCCATTATCTGATCTGCAGCAATTATATCTATATCATCAATTGTATGCACATCTGGTGGGCTGTCATCACTTACTTCAATCAATTCAGTTGAATGTCCATGATAAGCATCACCACTAAAATCATGACCACTATTCACTGAATCATAAGTTTCAAAGTCTATCTCATTGAACTGTTTATCACTACATGCCTCCTCATTGTCAATTTCTTGATGACTATCACTGGATTCTGCTGAATTCTCAGTTACATTTTTGTTAAGTGATAATCCAAGGTATTCAAACTGTGAATCATTTTTTGACTTTCCTTTGTCCACAATGGTCATGCCTTGTTTTGATGCGATGTCAAAAGCCGTATTTCTAGGAGCTGGCATTTGTGGAGAGTTAGGTTTGCTGTCAGCATCGTCATTAGCATTAGAATCATTTGCACTTTCAGCTGCTTCTCTTTCTGCTCTTATTCCTCTTAGAAACTTTGACCTCCATCTATAAACAAGGTCCATCGACACACCAGCTTTTGCAGCCACAGCTGTTGTACCAATAATTTCAGTTTCTTTAACAAATGCAATTCTATCTTCATCAGTATATTTATACCTTTTGTATGAGGTACTTGGTGATGTTTTAGTCTCCGATAATTTTCTTTTTCTAATATCCATTCCACCAGCTCCTGAAGAGCCACTTTTGTCTTCTTTTAGTGTACCAGTAGTTGACTTTGTCCGTCCAATAACTCTATTCTTATAGAAATCAAACCATCTTTTGACATTAGTGAGTGGAATATCTAATTCAATAGAAGCTTGTTTGTGTCCAATTTCATATGCTCTCTGAGCTGCTTCAAGTTTCTGTTGCTCTGTGTATTTTCTAACTACTTTAACTTGCTGTTGCACATATGAATATCTTGAAGGACTATCTGTACCACTGGAATTTGATGTGTCTAGTAAACCAGGTTCCTTTTTAATATCTTTTAAAAGAACAGGAGTAGATGGTTCCTTGTCTAAACTTGATCGAGCACTTGAATTAGATTTTTCCATTGAATCTCTAGAACTGTCTACACTATGCTCTCTCTCATCTTTCATCCAGTAGTAAACTGTTGAATTACCAAGGCCTTCCCTGTCACACACCTGCTTAACACCAACCCTCCTTGCTTCCTCTACTATTCTTTTCTTATACTCTTTGGAATACTTTTTGGACATTTCAGATGATTTACATGCTTTCTCTATGCTCGGCAGTCTCACTTTCAATTTATCTTGAGAAGTACGGTCTTGAATTTTCTCTTCACTGGAAACACTGGCTGATCTAGAAACCGATCCACTTCCAGTATCATCCCCATCTAAGTACATTTTCATCCATTTCAGCATAAGTGGCAGTGGTAACTTGTGTTTAGAGGCAGTAGCCGACACGCCATTAACACTTGCCTCTGAAACAACAGCCTTCCTTTCATTAATGTTGTACTTTGCAGCAGTTCTATCAAGTTTTTGTTGCATGAGACTCTTTGGCTCTGTTGAAGTATCAGAATTTTCTACTTTAATTTTAGCTGCAGCTTCACTTATATTTGGTGTATCAACAGCTAAAGCATGTCCTTTCAATTTCATGTTCCTTCTCCAGTGATAGATAATCTTTGGTTGTAATCCAGTCAGTTCTGCTGTTTCAATTGCACCATGTTTCTCTGCAAATCTAGATAATTTCAATTTAATTTCATCAGAAAAGTCCATGTCTCTATCACCTGCATCTCTAAACCTCACTTTCTCAAATTTCTCTGAATGCTGAGCAAGAAAACCTTCCAACCAGTTCTGCGTAGCATTATACCCAGTGTATGCCTCTTCAAACACCTTTTTGGCATATTCAATTATTCTGCTTGTCAAAACAATACCCAATTTGTCATTTTCCTCCAACACCCATGCTACCACTTTCTGAACCAGCTCTTTTTTCATGGTTGATGAATGGGTGAAATTAATTACAATATTTTCGCCCTGGTCCCTGAAGTACCGGATCCACTTACCTAACATGGTTCTGCTTATGCCAAGTTTAAGAGCAGCATATGTCACACCATTTGCTTCTGCTACAGAAACCATATTTCTTTTCTCTTCCAGAGAATACGTCTTTATATTTTTGCCTCTTGCATACTTCTTTTTTATCTTTGAACTTACAATTGCTTTATACTTTGGTATTGGAATGGCTTTTGCTTGCATGTTCCTCTTCCAATGATAAAGAGTACTTGCTGAGATATTCCTTTTCTTCACTACATGTTCTGTTCCATATTTTTTTTCTTCTGATAAAATATGCAATTTTTCCTCTTCTGAATGAAACTTTCTTTGGTTTTCAAAATTCACTTCTTTAAAGTCTTCCTTATTTTTTCGAATAAAGTCCATAACCCAATTGTTACTAGCCTTAAAGTTTGGCCTTGTTTCCTTATAAACAGACCTTGCACATACACTCACATCTTCATAAGTAACGCTTCCTTTTGCTCTTTGAGTTTCAAGAACCATTCTAACAATACTGTTTTCAAACTCTGGAACAACACCTCTTGCACTAGATTCGGATGAATCAAAGTCATTTAACCCTGCACCATCTGCACCGCCTAGTTTATCAATCTGTTCTAACTGCACTTTCCAGCTGTAAATTACACCTCCATTAATACCAAGCTGCCTTCCTACATGGTTACAGCCTAGTCTCTTTGCCTGCTCTACAATTTTCAATTTCTCTTCCACTGAGTACTCATTTCTAAACCTTGACTTTATTACAACATTTTTCAATGCATCATGATTACGTTGTTTAAATTTGGTCATCCATGCTTGAGTAGCTGCAAATTTTTTAGGTCCAGAGTGGATGGATTTGGCATATTGTTTGAAGAGATCTAAATAAACACAACCATCTTTTTCTTGTTGTTCCTGCATCCAATGCACAAGTTTCTTTTCCGTTTTACTGTCCATTCCTCTTGGTGGTCCAATAATTACTGGTCGTTTTTGACTGGCTAATTTATCTAGAACACTTCTTGGTGATTGGTTTATATGTGAACTGGAGATATCAAGATCTACTGAACTTTCTAGGTCATACCAGGAGCTATCATGGCTTTGACCATCAGAAAAACTTAAATTACTTCTTTCATCTGCATGGCCAGCTAAGCTTGATGATGATGTATCCAAATAAGGTAGACTCTTTGATGGATCATAATTCTGAATGAGAACACCATCTTTTTCATCATCATCAGGAATGTAAACCTTCTTCACATTTTCAAGATCGACACCCACAAGCTTTTCTTGATTTCTTTTCAAGAAATCTTTTATCCATCCATAACATGCCCTGAAATTTGGTCTTGTTTCTTTATAAACAGACTGTGTAATCTTTTGAATGTCTTCATGTGAAACACTTCCTTCCTTTTGTTGTTGTTCTTGAATAAGTTCACATATTTTTGTTTCAAATTTTACATTATTGCCCTTCAACTTAGACTGAAATTCTATTTTACCCTCTAGTCTATTTCTCCTTAAAAACTTAGCAATCCAAGCATTTGTAGCACCAAATTTCTCTGGAGGCCCAGTATACAAAGATCTAGCATATCTTCTAAAGTCATCAGTGAACACAAAACCTTCTCTATTTTGAGTTTCCATCAACCATTCAACAATCAACTTTTCAGTTTTACGATTAAAATGAACTGCTTTACCAATTATAATAGGCCTTTTTGCCACAATCTTTCCTATGTCTACATCTTCTGATGGTGTTTTAGCAACATTTATTGATTGTTTTTTGTACTGTGATTCATAATTAGGATCTTCAGGATTATCAATAACAATATCCATCTCTGACTGTGTTTCCCATGATGCAACTGAATCTTCCTTTACATCCAAATTACTCTGATCTGTTCCAAAGGTGCCAGCAGCTTCTTCAGCATCAAGATACTGCTCAACATTACCAATGTGATCCTCTGGTATAATAACTTCCATGTCTGGATCGTCATGTGTAATCCTTTTTGAATGCTCAAACTCAGCATGCCTCAACTCCTTCTTATGTCTCTTGATAAAATCTTTAATCCAGTTGTAACTTGCCTTGAAGTGTGGTCGTGTTTCCTTGTACACTGCTCGAGAGAAGTTACTAACATCCTGATATGACACACTTCCCTCTTCATCCATCTTGTTCATTATCATTATTACAATCTTCTTCTCAAAAGCTGGGACAATACCTCTGTAACTGTACAATCCCGGTCCGACAGTGTCTTTTATCTGCTTCAGTTTTGATGCAAAATTTGGTCTCTCACTAGAAGTACTTGGACTCTGAACTGGACTTGGACCTTCTGATGGAATAACACCCATTCTCTCTAGCTTTTGTCTCCAGGCATTAATTAAGCAATGCTCAATTCCTGTGGTTTTAGCCACATGAGCTGCACCATACTTTTTGGCTTCCATTACAATTGCCTTTTTCTCTTGTAAGGAGTACTGATTTCTAAAACTTGACTGGAACTTCACATTTTTCAAAGCAGTATGGTTTCTTCTTAAGAATTTGACTCTCCATGCTTGAGTTGCAGCAAATTTTTTCTCACCTTTATACAGCGATTGTGCAAACGATTTAAACTGGTCTAAAAAGACGTAACCATTTTTCTCTTGCTGTTCAACTGTCCATTGCACAAGTTTTCTTTCAGTCTTGGTATCAAGAGATCTGGACTGTCCTACAATAATTGGTCTTCTATGGAAAATCTTTTGAAGTTTAAAATCATTAGTCTCATTTGATGTCATTCCAAAAGCATTTTCATTGGCACCACCCATTTCATCATCATCAGGAAGGAAAACTTTTTTCACATTGTCAATGTTAAGATCAGGTAAACTTTGCTCATTGCGTTTCATGAAGTTTCTTATCCAAGCATAAGATGCCTTGAAGGTGGGTCTAGTTTCTTTATAAACAGATTGTGCAATTCTGCTCATTTCCTCATAAGATATACTCCCTTCTTTCTGATGTTCCTCTAAAATTAAATCCACTATCTTCTGTTCAAATTCTGGAACAATACCTCTAGAGGCATCAGATCCAACAAGACTTGCTGCAGTGTGTTTCATTTGTGTAAATTTTGGTTTCAGACCTTTTCCAAATTTCTTTATCTTTGTTCCTTTCCAGAAAGTTTGTTTTGGTGCATTTTTCTCCATTTTGAACCTCCATGCTGATATCAGCTTTGGTTCAATCCCCAATTGCCTTCCCACATGCCCTGTGCCTAAACGCTTAGCAGCAGCAACTGCAGCACTTTTCTCTTCCTCTGTGTAATTGTTTTTGTACTTGGAGCGCCAATTAACTCCAGACAGGACACGATGCCTACGAAGAAAGAGGGTCATCCATCCAGAAGAAGCAGAGAAATGCTTTGGTCCAGTATGCACTGATTTAGCAAAAAGTTTGAAATCATCAGTAAACACATAACCGTCAGCCTTCTGTTTTTCAAGTGCCCAATCTACTAATTTCTTTTCTGATTTTCTATCAAACATCACAGAAGGTCCTACAATAACAGGCCGTTTCTCTTTCGTGGACTGTAATCCTAATCCCTGGTCACAATTTCTTTGATCTCCAATAGCCAAAAGGGCTTGGTCTACCATTTCAGTAATTTTTGGATTATTCAACTGATCAACTTCCTTTTCATTCAGTTCTGCTGAAGAATCATTTTCAATAAACACTTTACTAACATTTTCAAGCTCTATATCTGCTAGAGATTCTTTGTGTCTGTCTAAAAATGATTTAACCCAGTTATAACTGGCTTTGAAGTTTGGTCTGGTTTCCTTGTAATTCATTTGGCTGATTTTGCTGATGTCATTATAATTAATACTTCCCTCACGTTGCTGAAATTCCTTTATTTCTTGCACTATCTTCTGTTCAAATGCTGGTACAATGCCGCGAGCTGCTTGGTCTGCAGGGCTATAACTACCTAAATTTGTACCTGAGGTAGAAGCAGTTTCACTGCTTTGAGATAATGCTTGGGAAGGAAAACTTGAACACAGTGCTTCTATTTTCATTAATGCTGATTGATCAACATTCAACATCCCTTTATCAAAAGCCAGCTTCCAACAATGAATTACTTTCTGGTTTATTCCTGTATGCTTTGCTGCATATGAAACCCCATATTTCTTAGCCATAGCTACACAGTTTACTTTGTCTTCTGTAGAATACACATTTTTAAACTTAGAACAAAATTTTACATTTTTCAAAGCTCGATTTCTCCGTAAGAATTTTTTCATCCATGCTTGAGTAGCACCAAACACCTTGGAACCAATATAAAGAGACCTAGCATAGTTTTTAAAATCATCTGTGAACACATATCCATCTCTAGCTTGCCTTTCTAAAACCCACTGAACAATCTTTCTTTCAGATTTGGCATCAAAAGCTTTAGACTGCCCAATAATAATTGGTCTCTTACCAAATGGGGTCTTTATCATTTCTAAATTTGGACTGTTGTTTTCTGGTGTTTTATCAAAACTCACACTTGTGTAATCATGAAGACTCTCTTCATTACAAAAGCTATCATCTTCAATATTGTCATCTTCATTATCATCAACTGCGCTGAAACCGGCTTCAACAGCTTGATTCAAGAATAGTTGTTCATTTAGTGGAACATCCTCTAAAACAGTATGTTCCCCTAATGTCTCAAGAACAGTTTCACCAGAATGACTTCCTTTGCTTTCACCATCAAACACTTCCTGTTTCACTGTAATTCCCGCTATTTTGGAATTTCCATAAATGTCCAATTCATCACCTTTATCTCCCTGGACAAACTTTGTGCCTTGGAGCACAGACATGTTCCTTTGTAAAAAGTTTCCAAGCCATGTTTTAGAAGCACAAAACTTTGGATTAGTTTGTTGGTGTACAGTGAGAGCATATTGTTTCATACTATTTAAATCAACACATCCATTCATCTCCTGTTGTTGAACAATCCAACGAACAAGTGATAGATCAGCATCGTGGTTAACCTGTTTTCCATGTTTTCCAAGCCTCTGGCTACCAGGATGTCGTAAACCAAACAGTGTCATCCAACTGAGAATATCAGGTAATGGAATGTTTCTATTGTTTGCAACTTGTGTTGTACCATATCTCTTTGCTTCTATAGCAATTGCTTCTTTCTCTTCTAAGCTATAATGAGCAGGACTTTTGTGTACAGATCTATCATTATTTATAGCATCTTCATTTTCATCATCACTAACCATAACAACAGTTTCTGGTGTAATGTTTGATGGTAGTTTAGTGAGATTTACAATTGGGCTCATCAACTTTTCTAACATACTCATGGAAGTTTCATTTTGTCCCGACTGGGTACCATCTTTTAGATTTTCTGGAAGGGACACACTGCTAAAGCTGGATCGACTGCTTGTTCGAGTTCCTGTAACATACAATATAAATACATGTACATATGAAAACAAAGTCTCCGACAATGTATTATGTAAACCTCCTAAAGGAATTTCAATGCATGTTGGAAAATTTTATAATCTGTTCTGAAATTAAATTTTAAGATCTAACTTAGAATAAGACTGTCAAACCTTGAATTGTTTTACTCATGTCAAATACTACAAGAGTTTTATCTAATCACATAAAATGAGAATTGTGCAATATGCATCATAAATCATCTTACTAGTTTAAATGTTATTGAGATGTGAATTTAAACCATCATGGCAATGATTGCTGAATATTTTTAAGTATGACACTTACCCAAAGAGGAATGTCTGCTTTGAGCTTTTTCATATGATGCAAGGTGTAATGGTTCCGTCTTGACAACAACTCCAATAGAGCAATTGCTTAGGTCACCACTGACTGCTGAACACACAGAGTTACTTCTGCTAAGATTAGAATCCTGACTGTTGTCATCAGGTGTATTAATCAAGCGCTCATCTCGTCCTACTGCAGTATGAATTCCATTTATGCTAGAATCTGGTTCAATTTGATTCTCTGGTCTGAGATTCAGGTTTTGACTATCTGGTGGGGCATTTTTCTGAATGTATTCCTGACACTGAATAAGCAGCTGTGTAACTCCAAACAAACTTGCCAATCTTTCAATATGGCCGACAACACGGCAGTTCAATTCCAACTGACCTGTAACAAATAAGCATGTTAGTCTTCATTCACACTTACTGTTTACATGTACCAACTTGCTAAGTTTTGACATAGTATAAAGCAACTTTCAGAGCTTTGCCTTAAATTAACATGGCCAGTTTAGACAATGATTAAACAAGGGCAAAATTGTCGCAATATACGCCCGTCACAGAAGCTTTTGACAGAGATATGGGCATTATAGATACGCATATAGGATATATGCTCTGGGCAATATCTGGATATATTATCATCTCAAGTGATTTTTTTATCTGAAATTTGACCCATGTGTGACCTTGACCTTAGTCACAGGGACGGACTTAAATTTTGCGCTTGACACTCCACCTCACAATAGTGAACATTTGTCCCAAGTTATATTGAAATCCCTCTATGCATGTGAACAGACTTTTTTCAATGACCTCTTAGTGTGACCTTGACCTATTACCTAGAGGCCTGATTCATGTGCGCGACACAGCTTGTCATAGTGGTGAACATTTCTATGAAGTTTCATTAAAATTCCTCCATGGGTGTAGGAGATCAGCTCCGTACAAAATTTGGATGCCGCCCGGTCAGCCACAATCGCCCTCCATGGTGGAAACTATAATATGACCCATTTTCAAACGGCCTATAAAAATTCAATCTTATTATGAAGTTTTTTTTATTTCCTTTTAATCAATGTCAAGTAACATATATAAAAAATGAAATAATATGAAAATTAACCTTGAGGTTAATTTGCCAGTTCACAAAGGGGAACAATGCTTTAAAATCCAAGCTAGAGTAATGAGTCTTGATCACTGACATACAATCATCACCCAAAAGACATGTGATAAGTTTCAAATGAATACTTTTTATGTTAAATAAAAATGAATCTACAGGTCATGCATGTCATCCCCAATATAGCTTAAAATCTTGCTTTGGTTTAAAATGAATTTAAACACTTAAACACTTGATTGATTTGCTAATGTACAACTTATTACAGCATAATTCAAATTTGAAAACAGTTGATTACCTGTATAAAGGAAATTAATGAACATGTTGACAGCATATAGACTGACATCTGGTGGAATAATTATCTCTAGTTGATCTCTTTCTCGATGGGGTGTCATGTCAAACTCCAGAGCTAGATCATGGAGGGTTTTACTTGCAGCACTTAGGACTACCTTATGAACCTATAATATTAACATGTACTTTAACCTACATTTAGCAATATAATGTATATCAAACCTGTAGCAACATTGAAAACAACATTTATCATATTTTCACAATAATACATTTTTGGAAAGGAAAAACTTTATTAAAAGAATTTCTCGCAAAGAATCATCAGCTTGGTTAGAATGAAGAGAATAAAAAGTAGAATACTTGTATATAAATCTGCACTAGCTAATAAATATCATCAAAAAGAAAGGTTAAGATCAGGAAAAAAATCACTTATTGGTGCTTACCAAGATTCTTGTGCTTCCAACACAGACCATGGCATCACAGAACTGTCCAGAGGCTCGTAATCCCTGCAGCCCTATCCCAAGGCACTGCAGGTATTCATTGTTAACCTGCATCTTACCTGAAACAATATTCATAAAGTATTAAATACAAAGATAACACAGAAGTGATTAGTGATCACATGATCCACATAATGAGAGTCAATTCAGCAGTTGTACTGAAGGGTGATAGAACAGTTTGTTTCCTATTTACATTGCAGCTACTTTGTAGCATTTTTACTCTGTTGCAGGAGACACAAAAATCATAAACAGGTAAATAAAATAATAAGGCAAAAACAACAGCTCCAATTAGAGTTTTTAATAAGGTAAAAACAACAGCTTTGATTAGAGATAAACAAAAATGGCAGACAATATATTTGGAATCAGAAACACTCAGAACACTTCGATGACAGGTTGAACCCCACTGATTCATTTACATTCCACATCATTGGTAGCACATCATTTCATATTATTCTTACTCTATTTGCCCAGCTCAATTACATCTGCTGAAACCAATACTTTAAACCACTATGTATGATATTATATCATTGCAAAGTAGACTAGAGAATTAATGTCAAGTTCTAAAATATTCAAATTCTGAGTTCTCTCTCATTCTGTTGAACCAGGTGTAAGGGCTACAATTACAAATGAGTGGTGTATAACTGATTACATTAAAAATATGTAAGCTATGAAACAAATTGACTGGTGTTATACGAATTTTAACACTTATCCGAATATATATCAACTTAATCATTATCTCGCTAATCTGCTGTGAAATGCAAACTCGATTTTTGTATTTAAAAATGGAAGATGCAACTATAAATGGATTGCAGGACATACCAACTATTATTTTCTACGTAATAACTTCATTATAAGACGCAATCTGTCTGTAATTTGTCCTGAAATTGCATCAATTAAATGCCTTGTTCTCGTATGCTTTTTCAGCGGAAATTGATAATTTTAATGAGATTGTACTCGGCTTCCGAACTTCGTCGAGTTCATGGCAGAATCAAGCTAGGTTAAAGTAGTTACACATGCGCACTATTCAATAATACAATGACGTCACATTGAACAGGTAAATGTCATGTAAATAAACATAAAGCTCAAATAATTGATGTTTCCTGACTTTAGCAAATGTTATCAGTGATCATATTGCAATGTTTATAATTAACAGGAATCTTATGTTAAGAAAAATATCATTTTCATAAATGTGAATGAAACCGGATATATTTTTTTCACCTGAGTTTTCTAAAGGAAGTTGTCAAAGGGAGTCAATATTTGGGACCAAATACAGGTAAAATGTGCATGACATTAAAATATATTGATATTTTCCCATAGCGAGTTTACATACGAACAAAAACAAATAGATTTTATTGGAGAATCAATTTAAAATAAAATATTTATAGACTAAACCTACTTCAAAAAGACATGCTGTGGAATATATTACTGATAATTAATGATATAAATGTAATTTAGACTGAATTTTTGCATGTGGTTTTTCTTTTATAAGGTGACATTATTGTAGAGGGTCAATTATGCTATTTTCGCAATGAATATTGCTTCATTCCTGAACAGAGTATACTGAGCAGGGTTCATATATCACATTAAAACAACTTGGATTGGGAGGATGTGGGGAAAAAAGATGAAGATGTAGTGTGAAACAGCAGTGCTGACTACAGCCAGTACAGGATAAAACATAAAATTATAAGATCAAAGTTTGAAATAGTTATAACTGCTTGGAACGTAAGGGAGCTGAGCAACTGCTTGCTTGAAAGATTCAATAACAGACATTTACTGGCCTAGCTGAGTCACAACTAGTTTTGGTAGTTTAATTGTTCCACAAGTAAAGTGGTGTGTAGAGAAAAAGGAGTATTTGAAAAAGTCTGATTTGACATGTAGTTGACAGAGGCTATGGTAATGAATGTGAAAGGAAAATCTATGTTAACAGTTTTATCTAAATTGGCTAAACTTGTTATCCAATTGCTACACTGGGATAATGCTGTCCTGGTTTGCACAAAAGAACACTTAGTTATGTTTGTGATACTATTTGTGAGCAGTTGACCTGGCAATGATTGGAAAAGGTGTGGCTAAATGTTCGGCGACGAAAAACCGGAAACGTCCATTATCTATTTGGGGCTTCATTAACTGGTTCTGCATATGGGGGTCAGAGTTTCTGTGTAAATTGCAGTCACATTTCCTCCATAGATAAGTTACAGTCTTCTTGAGTAATTTATTAAGTTGCATAAATTAAGTTACTGTAAATAATTTTTTAAATATGATTGAAAGAAATATTAAATGTTTACAGTGAAGGAAATAAAAGATCTACAAGTAATTTTATCTGCTTGTTATTTGATATAATATTGATGTTTTATTGATTTTTTTGTTGTTTGACATCACGCGGTATGGGTGTCAAGACCCCCTCCCGCACCCACCCCCGTCTGATTAAAAAAATGTAGCGCTTAAAAAAAATCCTGGGGAATTCCCTGATATCAATACAGATTTGAAAAAATTAATCAGTAATTTTAAATAATCAAGAAAGACTGTCTTGAAATGACAAAAAAATCACCTTAAACAGTTAGAACTATGGGATTGTTACTTAAATATTTTATAGTGGTGATGGGAAAAGATCATTGATGATCAGAAAAAAAAACATGCAGAGAGCATTTTTATACGTTAAACACATAATTTTATGCACTGAACATGTATTTTACTGAAATCATGAAACGGGTTTAATTAAAAGAGAAATATAGATAAATGTTATTTATACATTGTCAATATTTGTCATCTGATATCAATATATAGTCAGTATGTTTTATAGCAGATATTGATTAAAATTTTATACAAATCAAGCAATGCAATACATTTTATATGCTTAATTAAAGAATAGTTTAACTTGTTTTGTAGCTCAACTATTACACTCACCCAGGTGTTGGCATCAAAATTTGTTTTTGTTTGCAAATTAGATCTCCAGAACTACAGCAATGAATGGGTTGAAACTTACTTACTTGCTCTCTGTGGGAATCTAATATGATGGGCACAGGTCCCGTAACATAAGTTACCTTATACAGAGTTATGCCCCTTTTCTTACTAAGCCAAGCACTGAGAATAGTCAAACATGCTGTCTTACGGACAGCTCTTGTTTGTTTAACCTGCCATTTTTAGATTTTTCAAAAATTCTTTTTCATGCTGACTTGAAATATTTTTTGTATTCATAAATTATATGCCCTTATGTTCTCCCAGCATATAAGCTAATAGTACAATATGTAATAGACCTATTTTCTAAATCAAGAACACTTTCATCTTTCAGACTGTGACAATATGAAAACAAAGGAAGAGTGAAGTAAAGTGCACCAAAAGCCTGATTAAAACATGTTTTACATTGCGTTATTGTGTAAGTTCTACTTTCTAGTTTTTGTAATTGATACCGTATATACATTTATATATTCATTTATTCATAAATATTTATAAATTACATTATTATAAGTTGTCTGTTATGATTCAGACTCCCTATAAACAATTTTAAACCATAGGGAATGCTTATATTTTGTTTGATATGTAGTGATAAAGATAAATAAAAGATCTAATTTGAACAAAGGGTCAGTGGATTTTTAAGTCTTGCAAGTTGCTTGAAGGAAAATATTCAAGCAAAATTTCTCCCTTCCCCAACATAGTGAAATAACCCAAGAATACTATAAAAGCAGATCATCGGATGCCCACGGCCGAACCATTTACATTTATCATGTTATTATGTTACATGTTAATCAACCGTGAGTATGTTAAAGCACAGAATCTTCATCTTAACAAAGTTTTATGTTGAATGTTTGGTTGCATTTCAGGGTGTATAGCATTTGTTACAGTGACCATTGGTTTAGCAGATGGATCAGTCTCAAAATCAGGTCAGTCACTTTATTGTTACACCCAGATTTATTGTTTTTAGCTCGACTATTCGAAGAATATGAGAGCTATTGTAGTCGCCCCGGCGTCGGCGTCGGCGTCAGCGTCCGCGTCGGCGTCTGCGTTGGTTAAAGTTTTTTGTAAAGTCAAATATCTCAATTATTACTTGAGATATTCAATTGAAACTTACAATACTTATTTATAGTAACAAGGTACATCAGATTGACAAGTTTGATAACTCTGCCTACAATATTGACAGAATAATGCCCCTTTTTAACTTAGAAATTTTGGTTAAAGTTTTTTGTGAAGTCAAATATCTCAATTATTGCTTGAGATATTCAATTGACACTTACAATACTTATTTATAATAACAAGGTACATCAGATAGACAAGTTGGATAACTCTGCCTACAATATTGACAGAATTATGCCCCTTTTTAACTTAGAAATTTTGGTTAAAGTTTTTTGTAAAGTCAAATATCTCAATTATTGCTTGAGATATTCAATTTAAACTTACAATACTTATTTATAGTAACAAGGTACATCAGATTGACAAGTGGGATAACTCTGCCTACAATATTGACAGAATTATGCCCCTTTTTAACTTAGAAATTTTGGTTAAAGTTTTTTGTAAAGTCAAATGTCTCAATTATTGCTTGAGATATTCAATTTAAACTTACAATACTTATTTATAGTAACAAGGTACATCAGATTGACATGTGGGATAACTCTGCCTACAATATTAACATAATTATGCCCCTTTTTAACTTAGAAATTTTGGTTAAAGTTTTTTGTAAAGTCAAATGTCTCAATTATTGCTTGAGATATTCAATTTAAACTTACAATACTTATTTAAAGTAACAAGGTACATCAGATTGACAAGTGGGATAACTCTGCCTACAATATTGACAGAATTATGCTCCTTTGGAACTTAGAAATTTTTGTTAAAGTTTTTTTGTAAAGTCAAATATCTCAATTATTGCTTGAGATATTCAATTGAAATTTAAAATACTTTTTTGTTGTAACAATGTACATCAGTGTGCAAAATTGCATAACTCTGCCTGCAATATTTGCAGAATTATTTGCCCCTTTGAAACTTAGTAATTTTGGTTAAAGGTTAAAGGTATTCAAAGATATTTACTTGAAACTTTACACATGGCACTTCGGGTCATAATTGGAGGGTCATAATTGTATGTCACTGACCAAGTTCCATAACTCTATCTTGCATTAAGGCTGATTCATATCCCCTTTTCTACTTAATGTTTACATGCAAGTTTTACATATCTCAATAACTATTAAAGATATTTATTTAAAACTTCACATATGCATTTAGGGTTATAATTGTAGGTCACTGACAAAGATCCATAATTCTATCTTGCATTTAGGCTGATTTTTCTCCCCTTTTTCAACTTAGAAATTCATGGTAAAGTTTTGTTTGTAAGCTGTTATCTCAATAACTACTGAAGGGTTTGTCACTTTGTGCCTTTTTTTGGGACAATTTTATGCATTCATAATAATAAAGCAGTGATTTCTTGATAAAACATCTTAATAACAAGCCTTTGTACCTTGTCTGTCAAATTTATGTATTCATAGGTAATTAGTATTATTATATTCAATAAAACACCCTTGTGACATTACCTTCCGAATAGTCAAGCCAATACTGTATAATTAGACTCTCTCTAAGGCCTATAACATGAATTTATAAAAAAAAATTAGCCCTTTTGTGAACTTAAAAAATTTAACATTATCAAGGCTCTTTTACTATCAAGCACTTAGAATAGTCGAGCGTGCTGTCCTTCCGACAGCTCTTGTTTACAATAATTATGCATCTTAATTAATCTTTAAAATCTTCAGTATGGAATGACATTATATTTTGTTTTGTCTATAAACACAGTCCTGTAATAATAAACATATTCATTTATGATTGATTGATTGTGATTGTTTATTTCAATATGTAAGAACGCACCAGTTTGTCTATAAAAATATGACTGTTGCTTGACTTGAGCACAAGTGAAACTGGTTGTTAATTAATAACAAAATGGACTTGCTGTTAAAAATTGAAAATTCCTCTTTACAACGGTTCATCTTTTGTTTGACTTATAATTCGAAGAATTAGGGAGAGCTATTGTACTCACCCAAGTATTGGTGTCATACTTTGGCTAAGTTTTTGCATGCAAGTTGGTTTCTCCAAAACTACTGAAAGGAACTGGTTTATTGTCCTAGGCACATAACTCTTACATAGATTTTGACAAAATTATGGCCCTGTTTGATCATAGAAAAATTCTACACTCTTGTTTTACTTAAAGCAAGCACTTAGAATAGTCTAGCTTTATTTAGTGTGTTAAGTGTGTTTAATTGAGAGCATGAAAATCTAGTGTGCCCTTGAAAATCAGTGTTTTACCCTTGAAAATGAATTTTTTTTTGCATTGAGAATATCAGTTTGACTAAATTGATTGAATGCCTTTAACAATGGAAAATCTTAGTTTCAACTGGATGACAGTCACCCAAGTTTCACCATTGAAAATTTTGACAGTCAGTGGGTCATTGACCCTTGAGTTTCAGTCTATACTGAACATCTCTAATTCTGGGTCATCACTTATTTCACATTTATGGCATATTTTCATGTGACCAGTGTTAAAATTGGTCAGAATTGACATATTTTATTCAAACACCTAAATAACAAATTTTTGTGCAAAATATTTTAATTCTGTAGATTTTGACGTAAAACAGAACATCATTTTACAAATTTCTGCAAAAAGCAACAATAGTCTGTTAAAATTTGTGCATACGTCTGAAACAATCAACATTTTCTAAATGTTCTTGTTTGTTGAAAAAATAATTTTTGAGTTACAAAGTAAAGATAGTTTTAATATTTAAAATTAAGCAAAATAACATGTAGAAATTTTAACTGAAACATGAAAACACCATTTGATTACAGCGATTTAAATGATGACATATCGTTTTTAAAATGGCTGACATATGGTCTAGATGTCTTGCCCATTTAAACTGATTTTGACTGAATATATTGTTGTTTCCTAAATTGTGTCATACAGCAGAAAATACCTTTATGTTACAGCTTATGACAATTTTTGTACCATAAGTTTAATGTGTAAGTTTTCTTTCTTGTTTCAAAGCGTGAAGTACCGTGATATAAGAGGAGCCTGTGTATACTGCATGAATATTTGCAATATTCCAAAACACTCAAACCTTGTAGACTTGCGGTTTATATTGTCTTCATAACCTTTCTTTCAGGAAATTATTTAACTTTGTTTTTGTGTTTCTACAGGTCTGTCATTCGATCTATGTAATACAAAAACTTTGCGATTGCTCAATATTGATGACAGTGGCATTATAAAATATGATAATTCATCATCATCAAGCGGTCAATCCTCTGGTCTTGGATGTGTTCTAAAAATAGAATCATGCAGTTCTTGTCAGATACAGCTAAAAATAAGCACAGATGACAACTTTACATTCTTCTGTCAGACGGGCATTGTTCATTCCAAATATTGCTCATTAGGGTGAGTATCAAGTTATCAACATTAAGGTATGAGCCACCTAATGCATAACCTCCACTTTGAAGAGTACTCAAATAGGCTAGAACTACTGTCAACTGCATTGAAACTGAGGGGCGCGGGTTCAAGCCCCAAAAGAGGCAACTTTTTTTTCTTTCTTTTTTTTTCTTTGAACATTTTTTGTGTCTCTCAGATCACTCTTGATAAGAAAAAAGTGTTTCACTTAAATTATAAAATTATTATTGGTATTTTTTGGCAAAATTGTGCAAAATTTATTATAAAATATGGTACCTGATATTTTCAAAGTCTAATAAAATAAAAACTAGACGGTAAAAGTATTTTATATTTGACAAGTGCATCCAATATACTTTTAAGAAAATTTATGCAAACTTTGAAAACAGCCCCTGATTTGAGTAAATTTTAGGGATATTTTGAATAAGGCCCTCCAAGTAGAAAAATGATCAAACAACTACTTAAAATGGGTGGGGTAGGGTAACATTTATATATATATTTCAAACATTTTGAGTAGAAAAAATAATTTTGATGGGTCATTTGTTAGCTGAATGCTATTATTTGTTTCTAAAATATTTTCTAAAGGAAAACATTATTTCATAATGATTATATAATAGAATAATTAGAGTTTCTCATTTCTAAAAAAGAGCCCTTCTAATAGCAAAGTTTTACTTTAGAAAAATCTCCCTAACTCGCAAACCATACGGTAAACTTTGTTTAAATTTTGCCTTCTTGTGTCTTTTAAGGTATATACCTGACCTATGTTGTCAATTTTATAGTTCCTTATAGTGCCCATTAGGAGGCTCATACCTTAAGTCTGCATGCTTCAGTTGAGTAAAAATATTTCACTAAAATCAAACTTGTGAAAAAACTTCAAAGATTTTAGGAAAAGTAAAAAGATTAGAAATTTTAGTATTAGTTTACATGTTATGTGCGATAAATGATCTATATTTCAGCATTTATAACTATATTTCTACTGCGTTACTATCGCAGTAAGGGCTATTTTTGTATAATTTGACCATTTTTTTGGTAACTTACATATGGGTTGTAAGTGCCATTGATAATGCATAAATTGCATCCTTTTGGTGACTTCACAGTATAATACTTTTAAATACATTTTCAAATTTTCATGAAAATAAGCATGAATCTGGAGGCGTGCTGCTTTAAAGATTTTGAATCATCTGCTGTCATTTATTTATTTTCTTAAACATTTAAACTAGACTAATACAAATGTTGCTGAACCTAGTTATTTCAAGTCTATATAATGCTTTCTGTTTAATAATACTTGAATTCTTAAGAAACTGAAATCGTTGCCATGGTAACACTGTGAAAAATACCATTTTAAATCTCAGACAATATGAATGGTGAAACGTGGGAGTATTGAAATAAATAGATTGTGCTTAACTTTGACATAATAGATACGCACGTTTGCTTTAGATGAAATCTTGACGTTGTTTAGTTATTCTCTTGGTGCGAGTCATTGATTTTTTTTGCCTCACCCTTTCTGCCCACAATTGTACAATTATTCGTTTTGTCCACTGATATACAATTATTGAACTCATCCTCAGTAAGCTGCAGGATTGGGTCAATTAACTTTATATTTATTATTGTTTGAAGAATGATTTACAGAAATAACACAGTATTTCCTGAGATTTTTAATTGTGACATGAAGTCTCTCTGTCAGTTTTCTCTCAGTATTTCTTTCTTTTGTTGTTGCCTTGTCATTGATCATGAAATTAAGGAAAGATTGTTAAGGGACCTAGATAATAGTATGCTGACTTCTTGGGTCAGCCAATTAAAATGATTATCTTGCTTTTGTAAGAATACAAAGTTATTTTATGCACAGCAAAATTGACAAATTTTGAAAAAAATAATTTGTGATTCTTAGTCAGATTTGAGTGTAAAATGGTGCAATACTTGTCTTTTTGCAGTCATCTTGCATATTAATTAAAATTGGTTATGCTGGATAAACAAAATGAGCAAATGACCTGAAATGTTACATATAAATTATTGGTTGAGACCTACATCTGACCACAAGCTGATCTCAAAAAGATTTTTTTAGTCCCTTGACATATTAAGAAACCTCAGTTGAGTCCCTTTAAGGTGATATTAAGATAGAAAATGTGCAAGCTGGCCTGGCTCTATACTGTTGGCAAGGGTTAATCCCTTTTAGTTCCTGACTAAGGTAAGGGATAGGTTTTCACAAATTTCTAGATAAAAAAAAATTATGTAACAGTAAGTTGCTGATAAGAAAAAAAACCCTAAAAAATTTAACCGAAAGAGCTAAAAGAGGGACATCGTCAGGACTAATTTATTCTTTGACATACTTTTCTTAGGCACACATAGTGTTTATCAAGATAGACACAACATTGAAATGAATGATTAAACCCTGCTGAAGACAATTTATGGAAAATAGACAATCAGATATTTTAAAGTTTAGGTCTTCTCATTTGATAAAAAACTAGGGCAAAGACAAAATGAAGAAGCTATGTTTCACAGTAAACAAGTTGTGATGCAAAATTGTAAATGAAGCAGCACACTGAGCACAATAATCTTAAAGGAATGACTAAATGAAAGAAATCAGTTTCTTTATTCAAAATTTCACACAAAATAACCTGACCAGTGTTTAAATCAATTTATAAAGAGCTCCACTGATGTGAAAAAGCCTAAAAACATAAATTTTTAATTCTTGCTTACATGTACATTGTATTATGAAGTGATACACTTAATTAAAATATTTTCAGTCTCTCCGTGTAAAAAATAGTCAGTAGATTCCCTTTAAGGATAATGTCTAAAGCAATATCTGTCAAATAACCCTGTATGAATAATGCCTAATTCCATTTTCTGTCTAATAATCTCTTACTGGTAAGAATAATATCTTAATCCAATGAATGAAAATCTATGTCTATGAAAATGTTGTGTTTGCTTATTATAAATTGTACTGTAGAGTCACACTGGTATGTTCCCTTCAACATAATATAACCTAGGTTACATTTTATTTTCAGATGTGACTACCTCAGTATTTTTGACATGTACTATATGAATGAGACACTTCGATATTACCGTGGGGTGGATCAGATACCAGATGTTTTCCACTCGGAATCTAGCAATATATTTATTATGCTTTGTCACGGGGGAATGATGAAAAATTACAACTTTCAAATCAGTTTTAGCATCACACGTAAGTAAAATTTGTTCTGAATAGACTTTAGTTACATGTATGTACTTAAAAAGTCATGTATACACATGTTTTTTTTTCTGTCTTGGGTTAGAATTTGACAGGGTGATGTCATTAAAGAATTTCTGAGATGGTCCATTTTAGATTTAATATGGTCATATTTGGCTTTATTGCATACAAGAAAGAATGTTTTTTTGTTGTTTTTTTTAAGTTTTTAGGAGGCTCGGATTTAATAAGGCCAAAATAAAATGACATTGAAGTTTTGGTTAAAATGGTGAAACTGCATATAGGAAAATAAATTTATTTTTAGCTCGACTATTCGATAAGAAAGTTTCAAAGCCATATGTCATAACCACTTATGTTAAAGTTTTCGTAATAGTTCAAATATTTTCAAAGTCCATAGACATATGGCTTTGAAACTTTGCACACTTGTTCACCATCATGACCCCAACCTGTAGACAGGAGGAGGTAACTCTATCAAGCATTTTGACAGAATTATGCCCCTTTTTCGACTTAGAATTTACGTTAAAGTTTTTGTAATAGTTCAAATATTTTCAAAGTCCATTGACATATGGCTTTGAAACTTTGCACACTTGTTCACCATCATTACCCCAACCTGTAGACAAGAAGAGGAAACTCTATCAAGCATTTTGACAGAATTATGCCCCTTTTTAGCTCGACTATTCGATAAGAATAAGTAGAGCTATTGCAGTCACCCGAGCGTCGGCGTAACCACTTATGTTAAAGTTTTTGTAATAGTTCAAATATTTTCAAAGTCCATAGACATATGGCTTTGAAACTTTGCACACTTGCTCACCATCATGACCCCAACCTGTAGACAGGAGGAGGTAACTCTATCAAGCATTTTGACAGAATTATGCCCCTTTTTCGACTTAGAATTTATGTTAAAGTTTTTGTAATAGTTCAAATATTTTCAAAGTCCATTGACATATGGCTTTTGAAAACTTGCACACTTGTTCAACATCATGACCCCAATCTGTAAACAGGAGGAGGTAACTCTATCAAGCATTTGACAGAATTATGCCCCTTTTTCGACTTAGAATTTACTTTAAAGTTTTTGTAATAGTTCAAATATTTTCAAAGTCCATTGACATATGGCTTTGGAAACTTTGCACACTTGTTCACCATCATGACCCCCAACCTGGAAACAGGAGGAGGTAACTCTTATCAAGCATTTTGACAGAATTATGCCCCTTTTTTCGACTTAGAATTTACGTTAAAGTTTTTGTAATAGTTCAAATATTTTTCAAAGTCCATTTGACGATATGGCTTTGAAACTTTTGCACACTTGTTCACCATCATAACCCCAACCTGTAAACAGGAGGAGGTAACTCTATCAAGCATTGTGACAGAATTATCCCCTTTTTCGACTTAGAATTACGTTAAAGTTTTTGTAATAGTTTCAAAATATTTTCAAAAGTCCATTGACATATGGCTTTGAAACTTTGCACACTTGTTCACCATCATGACCCCAACCTGTAAAACAGGAGGAGGGTAACTCTATCAAGCATTCTTTTTTACTATCAAGCACTTAAGAATAGTCGAGCGTTGCTGTCCTAATGACAGCTCTTGTTTGACTTAGAAATTACGTTTAAGTTTTTGTAATAGTTCAAATATTTTTCAAAGTCCATTGACATATGGCTTTGAAACTTTGCACACTTGTTCAACATCATGACCCCAACCTGTAAATAGGAGGAGGTAACTCTATCAAGCATTTTGACAGAATTATGCCCCTTTTTCGACTTAGAATTTACTTTAAAGTTTTTGTAATAGTTCAAATATTTTCAAAGTCCATTGACATATGGCTTTGAAACTTTGCACACTTGTTCAACATCATGACCCCAACCTGTAAACAGGAGGAGGTAACTGTATCAAGCATTTTTTTTACTATCAAGCACTGAGAATAGTCGAGCGTTGCTGTCCTACCGACAGCTCTTGTTGGACTTAGAATTTACGTTAAAGTTTTTGTAATAGTTCAAATATTTTCAAAGTCCATTGGCATATGGCTTTGAAACTTTGCACCCTTCTTTACCATCATGACCCCAACCTGTAGACAGGAGGAGGTAACTCTATCAAGCATTTTGACAGAATTATGCCCCTTTTTGGACTTAGAATTTACGTTAAAGTTTTTGTAATAGTTCAAATATTTTCAAAGTCCATTGACATATGGCTTTGAAACTTTGCACACTTGTTCACCATCATGACCCCAACCTGTAGACAAGAGGAGGTAACTCTATCAAGCATTTTGACAGAATTATGCCCCTTTTTGGACTTAGAATTTACGTTAAAGTTTTTGTAATAGTTCAAATACTTTCAAAGTCCATTGACATATGGCTTTGAAACTTTGCACACTTGTTCACCATCATGACCCCAACCTGTAGACAGGAGGAGGTAACTCTATCAAGCATTTTGACAGAATTATGCATCTTTTTGGACTTAGAATTTACGTTAAAGTTTTTGTAATAGTTCAAATATTTTCAAAGTCCATTGACATATGGCTTTGAAACTTTGCACACTTGTTCACCATCATGACCCCAACCTGTAAACAGGAGGAGGTAACTTTATCAAGCATTTTTTTTACTATCAAGCACTAAGAATAGTCGAGCGTTGCTGTCCTACCGACAGCTCTTGTTTAAAACACATGTAATCTGATAATATATAATTTTTCTCTGCACCAAAACATAATGCAGACAAACCATTGTATTTGTCAAAGAATTCACATTGTATGATTTGATAGCAAAACAAATGTTTATTGTTGAAACCCTAACCTTGATTAATGTGTGGATTTGGTTTACAAAACTCAATAATCATTTTCTTTTGGACTAAATTTCATTCACAGTCTTCAAAGTATATTACAATACATAATTAGATTTCATTTACTGACTTGTCATTTCATTTTCATGGAAACTTTACATGTATTTTCATGTACTATTTTATTTATATCCTTTTAAATACAAAGCAGATATAGAAAATGTTTGTTTGGATTGAGGGACTTGGACTGCGAAAATATTTTAGATTACTTAAATATAGTTACAAAAATCACAAAAAATATTTTGTTATGATAAAATTTATGTTGTCTACAAATATTTTGATGATACTTGCATGTGAACCTTATCAGGTGGTATACATTGAGTTATATACAGTAAATGTTTGCATGGAGTGATATACATTCAATTTTATAAATCAGATAATACGGAAGGATTTTTTATACGCCCGTTTGAAAAACGGGACGTATTATGGGAACGCCCCTGGCGGGCGGTCGGGCGGGCGGGCGGCGGGCGGGGCGGCGTTTATCCAATTTTGTCCGGAGCATATCTCCTACATGTATGGAGGATTTTAATGAAACTTCATAGAAATGTTCACCACTATAGAGGAGCAGTGTCGCGCACATGAACCAGGTCTCTAGGTCAAAGGTCAAGGTCACACTTAGAGCTCATTGAAAAATGCTTGTCCGGAGCAAAACTTCCACATGTATAGAGGGATTTCAATATTACTTGGCACAAATGTTCACCATTGTGAGGCGGAGTGTCGCAGTGCAAGATTCAGGTCCTTGCGGCCAAGGTCAAGGTCACACTTAGAGGTCAAAGTTCAGATAAAAATATGAAGATGTGTATATGGACCATTTAGTTATCATTTATTGAGGGATTGTAACACAAATGGTCATTATCAAGACTATGGCTGTGATACATATAATTTAGGTCAATATATACAAGGTCAAGGTCACTAAAGATGATGAAATATCCAGATTTTGTAAATAGAATTTAATCAAAGGGAGACAACAAAGTTATTACTTTGTTCATAAATGACTTACACAATTACTCCCCTTGATCTATTTTCTAAAAAAATAGAATTTAATCAAAGGGACATGAAATAATCCTCTTTCTTGGACTTGAGTATGTTGTAAAGAATGTAACATTTATTTACACATGTTTTCATTCATTGGTCAAGATACTTAACTGTGATAACTATGGTGTTCTGTAGACTTGGTATTTGTTCATAAAGATCATACAGTAATTACCTTATCAAATGTAAATACTTTCTCATAGAAATTTAATTATATTTTAATTTTCAAGTAAATATCAGTTCAGCTCATTCAAAGATTAAAGAAATTGTAATTAAATGTATTTCCCTAGAATAAAATCTTAAATCAGAATTTTTAGTTATTAAATTACATGTACTTTTTATACGCCTGTTTAAAAAAGATAAAAAAATATAAGATGTGTATAGGGACAATTTAATCATCATTTATTGAGGGATTGTAACACAAATGGTCATTATAATGACTACGGCTGTGACACATGTACTTTAGGTCAATATATGCAAGGTTTCAAGGTCACTAAAGATGGTGAAATATCCAGATTTTGTCTGGAGCATATCTTCTACATGTATGGAAGAATTTTATAATACTTTATGGAAATGCTCACCACCATGATATGTATTGCTCCATGCATGATCCAGGTCTTCAGGTCAAAGGTCAAGGTCACACTTAGGAGCTCATTGAAAAACGCTTGTCCGGAGCAAAACTTCTACATTCATAGGGGGCTTTTCAATATAACTTGGCACAAATGTTCACCATTGTGAGGCTGAGTGTCGCATGCAAAATTCAGATCCCTGCGACCAAAGTCAAGGTTACACATAGAGGTCAAAGTTCAGATAAAAATTTGAAGATGGTTTATAGGAACCATTTATCATCATTTATTGATGGATTGTAGCACAAATGGTAACTATCATGACTACAGGTGTTACACATTTAATTAGGTTAATATTTGCAAGGTCAAGGTCACTGGAGATGATTAAATATCCAGATGTTGTCCGGAGCATATTTTCTACATGCATGGAGGAATTTTAATGTTACTTTTATAGAATTGTTCACCACCATGAGACGTAGTGCCTGCACATAAACCAAGTCTCTAGTAAAGGTGAAGGTCACAGTTAGAGCTCATAGAAAAACACTTGTCTGGAGCAAAACTTCTACATGCATAGAGGGATTTCAATATAATTTGGCACAAATGTTCATCATTGTGAGGCTGAGTGCCGTGCATAAAATTCAGGTCCCTGCGACCAAGGTCAAGGTCACACATTCTGTGCATATCTTCCCTATTGATTTGTTTTAAGGTTCATTTAACAACACAGTGCCAAGAATAAAAAATTGCTTGCTAGATAACACTTATCCATAATGCCCCCATCTCCATCTAAAGCTTTTTCGTAAACGGGCGTATTTTGTGACTATGGCACCCTTGTTTTTATTTGAATAGATTTTAATGACGACTATGTAAAGCATATGTTGGTTTATTGTAGAAAAAATGAAAACAGTGCACGGAAGCTCAGGTACGTCCTCTGCCACTGGTTTGATAAGTTCCCCATTTTTTCCGACTGGCTACGCACAGAATCACGAGGTGTACAAGTATGTGATCTCCAGTACTGATGCTGATGATTATATCATCGTAACATTCGATGATTGGCACCTGTCAGAAACTTCTTCGTTATATGTAAGTATAGCCGCATATATTCTTGCTGGTTCCTGCAGAGATCATGTTGAAGTATAGGATATTTCCAGCTTATATCTGAGATAATGTGGGAAAAGGGCACCAGTCTGATATAACTTTAACCATGTTCATGTTTTTACTTTGTATGCCTATCTTTCTACTTTGTGGAATAATTGGTGATATATTTATAATCAAGATCGTGCTTTAATCTTATGCCCAGTTTGGGATTCTAACTCAAAACTCTATCATTTTAGGTTAGGTTCCATTTATGCTTAGAATAATTAATGGAGGAGCAGCCCAGGTTTTCCTGCATCAGTAAAGTTGGAAAGTCATCAAATTAATTACATTCAGAATCTTCATAATGTCACAATGACTAATTGTTAATTTTACTGTATAATAATTATGGAATTATAAAGACATTATTTAGAGAGCTGGAATTATTATTCTGTTTCATGCTTAATACATTGCTTGTTAAACATATTTTTTACAGTTTATCAACAGCAACAAACATGGTCAGTTTAATGGTGGGTCAAACCGTCCCGTGGTCCTGTCTGACTCGAGCCTGCTCCAGTTTACCTTCAGTACTGGAGTGTCACTGACAGCTGGGGAGAACAGAGACTTTATAGGGTTCAGAGCTGCCTATAAGTTTTATAAAGGTAGTGTTATTAATTAAAATTTCTATAATACATGTTTGTTAACCTTTTTGTCAAGGTTCATTTCAATGAAAATATCAAAGATGTTCTCTTCAAACTCAAAAGTACACAGGAACATATTTATATTTATTTTTGAAAAATGTGACGCAGTACAAAAGGGCAGATACTCGTAAAACTTTAAGCTTGACTATTGGAAGTACATGTAATTATGTTTAATGATTGATTTTTCATACATTTAACATTTATAGAATGTAAAGAATTTGTCTTAAAGCATCAATAAAAAGCATGGTGTTCTTGAACAATGTCTTGTAATGTAACAGATCTTTCTGGCTATTACAGTTTTCTCTTTAATTTCAGGTCGAGCATTCATTACAAAACCAAGTACAAGTAAGTATCATTTAGTCTTAAACTTTACTGAATTTTTTATACACTGGCCAATTGGCCCTTTACTGAACAAAAGAAATGGCCTTTATTCCATTTCGGGCACATGTTTGTCTGTTTGTCCATCACAAAACTTGTCTGGACTCGTCCTCAAAAACTACTGGTGCAATTTCGGGGAAAGGGTCAGTCCCAAAGGGCTAGTTCCCCCACCTCATGGAAATTTTTGCAGTTCAAAAAAATTTATCAGAGTTAGGGCCCTGTATTTCTTAAATGGTTTTTGGAAAGTTTTCCTTTTTTTAAGGGACTGTCCATCATAAATTTTTGGGGAATCAAGATAAAAAAATTTAATTTGGGTTCACCCAAACATTTAAGACCCGGGTTTCGGGCTGGCTGGCCGGGCTTTTAGGGCTGGTCGCAAAATTTTTAGTTTCCCAGCGGGTTTAAGGGGTTTTATTTGTTTTGATTTTCCAGTTTGGGAAAAAGGATTGGGGCTATTTAAATTGCCCAGAAAAGGTGGAAGGATAATTTTTTTAAACCAGCACCCCAACTAGGGGAATTGTACGATTTGTCTATGGGTGGTGAAAAACTCGGGAAAGGGTTTTTGAGGGCACCACTTAAAGATTATCAGGCTAAGAATAAAGGAAAATAATTTTTTAGGGCATGTTTTGATTTTATCCATGACTTTTTTTTTTGATTAGCAAAGCCGGGCCACTGCTGGTTTTTTTTAAAAACATTTAAAATTGGTAAACATTTTAAAAAAAGGGCAATTTCCTAAAATCATAAAATTCCCAAATTTTGCCAATCATTGACATATAAAATTTTTAAATTTAAAAAAGAAATTAAATTTAGGGTTTTTTAAATTTTTAAATTCAGTTTATTTTTTATTATTTCTGGGTAGAAAATGAAATTAAACTTGGGGAAAAAAAAAAGGGTTTGTGGTTAAAATTTTCCATTTGTAACTGGGAATTAAAACCATGATTAAAAAAATTTTATAATGTTTGGGCTAGAAACCCCTAACCTTTAAAAAAAAGAAAAAATTTTGACCTTTTATTTTGTGTGCGCTGTTTAAACAATGGCTAAAAACCCCCATTTTTAGAAAAACCCTTTTTTCAGGGTTATTTTTTCATAACTTTTAGCTAGGAAATTAAAAGGGCATTAGTCAATTTAATTTTAAATCAACCCTTTTTTTTAAAGGGTTAAAGTATTCCCCTGGCAGAATCAGATAGGTTTTTCAAAAGATTTGGGAAACTCATCTGACGGCGCAGTACGAGCTAAACATGACATGTTGGATGATATCAACAATGGTATTCCACATTACAGTAAGACCGGCTTCTACATCCGACTGAATGCCTCCCTGTCATCTAGTGATAGTGATCATACTTACCTACGCGTTCTACAAATGTCTCCAAGGTAAGTTTTTGTTGAGGAAATAACTTAACAACTTTTGACTTTCTGTTTACCAATTAGGGGAAAAGTATGAAGTTTGGCCAGATACTTCACTCAGTCAAAAGTGTGTGGTTATTCAAAAAGTCATGGGTTCAAGTTCTGGTTTAGTCAGACTGATAAATTTGGCACCCAATGTGAGGCTGTGACCTAACGCTATATAGCTCCTAGTTCAATTTTACTTTGTTCTCTGTTCCCAAAAAAAACAAAAACAATTAGTAGAGGAAAGAGTATGTTAAAGTATAGAATTACTGTTTAATTTTTCTGACTTTATATGCACTGCATGCTTCTTGAGGGACTTACCAGACCCACCATTGTAAATAATTTTTACAATGACAAGATATAGCAAATATTAACTTTGAAATTTGAAATTCAATCCCAAAGTCCTCTACATTGACTTTGGGGCACCTGCACCTTGTTGAGCATCAACCTGCCAGAGCCACTTAGGGGTCATGGGTCAAACCATGAGCTAAAATAGCAAATATTAACCCTTTACCTAATATAGACGTGTTTTTGGGCATTTTTGGTGTTTTCAATCACCCCCCCCCCCCTTTTTTAGGCCTTCAATACAGTGAAAAATTATTTCCTATTTAGGGGCCCCAAACACTGTTTTTTGTTTGGGAAATTGTTGTTAAAAAAAAGGTGATCACTTTTTTTGGTGCCCCCGCCCACTATCAAAAAGGTACCATCAGGGGGTTGCCAGAGCGGGGGGTTGCCCAAAAGAAGAGGGATGTGCCCCCTTATGTTTCGGGGTTTGTGAAGGGGGCTCTGTTTAATATATTACTAAAATAGAAAAAAAAATAGAAGGGTCAATTGAAAACAATGCGTTTCTGTATTTCATTTATAGTAAACTGCAATTTGCAATAAGAAAAATTAAAACGCAGTGGTAAATAACTCCAAAGACAATAAACACATCAATAAAAAGGAGAGAACAACATGTCCAAACTCAAATACAATTTAAATATTAATAACCCATGCAAAATCTGTGTTTATAAACTGTAAAGACTTTGTAGATATTGTTTCACCTTGATATTAAAAATGATTTAAATTGTTGTTCAGGGGGTTAGTGGTTTCCGACTTATTTGTGTGTGGGTAATGATTTAAATGTATAGATAAAAAATCTGATGTGTGAGGGTCGACCATTGTGGCGATAATAGTGACGAGTTGCCGGGTTGTCAGGTATGTTCTATTTTTAGCATCCAGTTATATATATATCTTCATTTTAAATCAAACCATGCTCAAATTGCCTATTCTAATTAAATTTTTCTATTTATGAGCTGCCGTTCATGACAAAACCAACATAGGCGGCGTTTTAGACCAGCATGAATCCCAGCCAGCCTTGCGAATTTCCGCCGCAGTCTTGATCAGATCCATTGCTGTTTGCTGAACAAACCTCTAGTTTAAGGGAGAGAAACTGGATAGCGAACAGCATGGATCCTTTATCAGACTGCGGCGGATGCACAGGGTTTGGTCTGATATCCATGCTGAGTCGCAAACGCAAATATGTTTGGTTATTGTCATGTGCGGCTCCCAAATTGTATTATTAAATACCAAGATGCAAGTGCACAAACTAGGGCGGTTTTAAAAAAGGCCCCACCAAACCAAATTTTCTTTTTGTTAATCAGAAAACCCTTTTTGGGAAACAGAAAAAATAATTAACAGTTTTAAAAATTTTGCAGAATGAGGGTTAATTTAATTTTATTTATATCATCTTTTATAGCCCTTTTCTCCTTTTTAAAACTGATAAATTTTAAAATAAAAAATTTACACCAAAAAAAAAAAAAAAACCAAAATTTCTTATAGGAGTGGGTGATTCTTATAAAAAGAATTAGGGTTTTTTAATTTTCATTGAAAAAGCAATTTTTTATATTTTTTTTTCAAAATAATAAGGCCAAAAGGGGCCCCGAGCTATCAGTATACTATAAATATAGGGGGGATAGTTCCCATGGGGATACGACCCTCATTTTTTATTTTTCCCCCTTTTTGTGATACCGGGGGATGTCGTAACACGTTTTCCGTAAACTCTGGATCAAGCGAGAGATTACAAACTGTCAGTGAGGACGTAACAGAACGGAGAAGTAATTATAATTTTTTTTTAAATTTCAGATATCTTTAAGGTAATGACTTGTTTTCGTCAGTTAGTTCTTTTGTCTGGGTTTTCTTTAATATTACCCAAGTGCTGTTTTAGTTGATTCAAAGAACTTAAATTTAGTGTTGATTTAAAGTAAAAGTAAAGTATTAGTTACCCGCACTCCAGAGCATGCCTATTGATTGGCTCATTTTTGCTGGGGTTTACTTATTGTGACGGCAGAGAAAGTGAAAGCGACAGAAATATTATATTTAGATGCTCGTTCATTGGTTAATTTACTCCGAGGTTTCATATTGTGACAACAGGGAACATGTTTTTATGTTTGACTATGATACAAAAAAGAAAGAACATCAAAACATTTGGCAATCTGATTAATACTAGGGTGCTATGCCCCCTAAATAGCCTCGTGTTTCGATGCTCTTTCTATTACATATAAATAGGTAAAATGTCTAAATAAGCATGTAAAGTCAGTTTGTTTTATGTTGTTTTTTTTTTATTTCAATATATCATAGAGTGTATATAATTGTTAAGATATTCAATGATTTATTTTAATTAAGTTTAAACCTATTTATTTAGGTTTGATTGCAAACAAGTTCTTGCAGCTTATATTAATCACTTTTGAGTCTGCTTCCTGGATTTATTGTATTTGTACCAATCATTGTTCTATGCTAAGCTTTAGTCTAATCACTCATAGAATATAAAAAAAGGAAATTTACACTTGAACAAATATTTTAGGTTGTCATGATTTATTTGATTTATGTAATTACTGATTCCAAGATTTGATGATGTTAAATTTGATCAATTAAGGGCGCAGACGACACAGGCGCAGACTTGGATTGTTCGGAAGTTTTGAACGAGACAGGCCACCCACGTATGACGAGGCAATGCAGAACCCACCAGGATGGTACCTTAATGTTGTAAGTATAATAATGTAGTCCTTGTATATGAAAACAAAACTATAATAGTTTATTTTTCCAATTTGAAACAAGATCTGATGGTTGAGGACATATTTGAAAATTTCGTCGTCACTTGTATTTGTCATTTGTTTTCATGCAATAGGAATTTTTATAGAAATTGCAAATATAAAAAAAAAAAAGTTATATTTTGTTGAAGTTACACTTAAATATTATATTTTTGACATTGTTTTTTTCAGTACAAATATTTATGCTCCAATGAGTAACATATTATGCTGTATAATATCATGTATGTCAGAATTACTTACCTGTCCTTTACAGGCATTTGGCAATCCAGTTGACCCTTCATTACCACAGCCACCTTCATACCATGAGGCAATCAGTGCCGATACATCAGCACCTAATACAAACCCTAGACAAACCCCTGGAAGCCCCACCTCTACTGACAGTAGCCAATCAGAACTGACAGTCTGTTCAGGCCACCTATCAGATTCCTCTAGTTCTAGTGACGAGGGGCTCCACATGGGGAACTTACAATGCGTGATGGAGATGGTAGGGAGAAGGGAGACTTGGTAGACATGTTTCAAGTTCTGAGTCCGAACCTTGGTACCACTTAGATTACACGTGCCAGATCTGCTGCCGAGTCCTGTTCAGACAGAATCTATATCAAGATTCAGTAGCAACTTCGACAGAAAATACTCCAAGAATAGAGTATACCCCTTGCTAGAAGAATTGCATACTGTTGAAAGCTATGCCAAAAGACAATAAGGACAATATTCAAATACGCAAGGAAAGAACATTGAAAAGAAAGTTAATAAATGTACTGCAGATGATTTTGTATGATGCCAGCAGGGCCCAAACCAGGCTTGTAGTGATCCCAGATTAATGTTTGTAGTAGGCCTAAAAACATATGCTTTAGGTGCAACCACAGCGGGCTCGAAGTCATGTGCCTCCTGTTGCTCCAAAGTAATATCATAGAAATATGATCATCCGAGGTCAGAAGCTGCCAAATAGAGGACCGGAAAGAAAGAAACCAAAGAAAGAAACCAAGGAAAGTCTAAGTCAAAGAAAGCAGTAATCAACCAGTTCATGCCCACCGAAATACCGCGGAAAATATTGCACATACTAGCTAAATTTCACACGAGTACCTGATTAACCAAGGTCATTCAAAATTATCCAGAAATTGCAGCACAAATCCAAGAAACATCTGGTGCTGTACCACAAGCATCAAACCTTCATGTGACAACAGTTAACTTTGTCTATCCTACACAAATTTGACAGAAAATAGTGCAGAAGTAGGTCCTAAAGTTGCAAGCATCTACTGATGCCAGATTAGCCTATCAGGTATGCTAGTAATGTAAGATTAATGATGATGTTTTAGTAGTTTATGGATTCAGCTGGATTTGGGAAATAAATTTGGACAAAATATTGAACCTGGACCAAGTTTTATAAGGCGGATAAATTTCAAAGGCAAATGGAAAGGATAGATCTGACTTACTTAAAAATTAGTTCCATGGCAGCAAAATGCAATGGAAAATTCGTAATCAAATGAACAAAAAACCATGTCACAAACACTAATGATAATTTAATCTGAAATATAATGATAAGAGAGGCGAAACCATTTTGCACCAGACGACCACATGTCATTGGTGCATACGACCAGTTTAGGGCAAAAGCCCGTACTAGACTAGTAAATGATGTTGACTGTGATCAAACTGTTATGTCATTTTAAACAAAGGGAAGATAAATCTGACAATTATCACAAATAGTGAGTTGCAAAATTGAAAATGGGCTACTAGAGTTAACGAAACATCATGAATCAACCAAGTGTATCTCTTAGAAATGATTTGGATGGATACTGAAGACATTTATGTGTAATATTTATTCACTTAAATAGTCATTCTTTTTTAATGAGACCACTTAAGGGAAAAAACCTAAGTGGTCTTTATTATTAATTAAAAGGATGTTCCATGAATATAACCAAGGGAAACTGTAAAAAGCATTCTGAATATAAGATAAAATGATGCTCTGTGGATATAAATGGGAAGAGACTAAAGTGCTCTTTTTCTTAAACAAAAGCATGCTCCATGGATTTAACCAAAGGAAACTGCAAAAAGTTGTCATATTAATAAATAAAAGCAGTTTTTCCGTAGATAAAAACGAGATAACCAATAAAGTGGTCTTATTAAATAAAAATATGTTCCACAGGTATAACCAAGGGAAAAGACTATGTTGTCTTCTTATTGAATAAAAACATGTTCCATGCATATAACAAAGGTAAACAACTAAAGTGGTCTTATTATAAAATGAAAGTATGTTCTGCACACATAACCGAGGGAAAAGATTATGTTGTTTTCTTGTTAAATAAAAGCATGTTCCATGCATATAACCAAGGGGAACAACTTCATTGATCTTACTATTAAACAAAGGATGTTCCACAGATATAACCAAAACTTATATATCCTTGATGTTTTTCACGTTCTTTAATGCATTCCAAATTAGATGGTTGTTATTAAATTTAAATACTGCTATACACACTTATGCTTTATACAAAAACCATAATCATGTGGTGAATTTATTTTTCAAAGTTTTGAAAAAAGTAGTTTTTACAAATAATGGAAACCTCATTATACCAAAATTGCATAAATTCATAATGAAAACTTATAAAAATACAAAAGATGTAGGTACTATCTTTGATACTTATACTTTTTAGATAAAGAGTGAAGGTTGTTGAGTTGATATTGTTTGCATATGATATTTAGTTTATTACTGTATGTGCAATTGGTATATTCAAAGAACAAATATTTTATGTCATTATCATTATCTCTTTAATTGCTCATCCTTTGGGGTTGTACCATAAATAGAATAATCAACTTTTAACAGTACAACCCCATATTCATTATTTTTTCACATAAACAAATTTATACATCAAATTACCTTTTTAAGTTAAGGAAAAAAAAAGATACATAATTGTCATTTAAGAATTGTTTTCATTGTAACAAAAATGCTTTTTTCTTTAAATTATATCTTCATTTGACATTAAATCGATTGAATATTATATAATAAGATATTACTTCCATTAATGTTTTTTTCAAGCACTATGAATGCTGTGTTTACATTGATATATCAATTTAAATGATTTTAAATTTCAAGTATAAGATCTCAACCTTCTTAAAACATTATAAGATAATTTAGCATATTACAGTCAAATGCTTAAAGTTAATTTAGTTTTGTTCAGCCCAAAATATCAAATATATTTCACTATAGAAACCCCTTTATATTTTTACAAATGTCGATGTATATTTCCATATACATACTGTATTTTTCCGATTTTCCATTACCTCTATTTGCAAATATGTTAATTAGAAAAAAAGAGCTTAATTAGACAGAAATGCTTTATTTTGTGTAAAAATGTATGTTTTGACATTATGTTTTAAGTATACATGTAAATAACAAAACTTATAAGTACTCCAATTTCAATCTTGCAGGTAAAATCAATCTTTCAAAATTTAGTCTGTCCATCTATGCGTATCCATATCATATTAAGGCCATGTCACACTAGACTGTGCTTTCACAGAGTTTGCACGGCCTTGTTGAAGTTAACAAAGCGCTGCTAGATCGCAATAAGAAATGTGATATTTTTTATGACATGGAGACTTCATGGCGTCCTCACAGCAATCATGGCAATGCTAGGGAGCTTCAACGGTGTTTTAATTGGCGAGATGCTACTGACTTGCCACAGCATCCTTACTGCGATTCCACTAAGCTCTCATCAGAATGCCAAGTGACGGCATTTGTTTTGAGCATTCTCAAAATGCGCGCCGTCGTTTGGCATTCTATGCGATGCTGTGCCGATGTTTGTGATCTTCCTGCGCTCACCTCAGTGTTCTGAATTTTCTTTGGACACCATGAGAACGCCGCCCTAGGGTGACTGGTTTTAGATTACACTTGATACACAAACATCAAAACATCTAATGTTTAGATAGAGAGTACTTGTAAGTTTTGTTTAATATTTATTATCATTTTATTGGTTAATTTAAGTAACCATTAGGAGTGTTTGTTTTAGGGACTGATTTTAAAGTCTATATTTTTGTGACCTTTGTGTAACCTAGGATTTGTTAACTTTATGACAGGTTATTTAATTTGTCAAAGTAGTTAAAAAAACAACCCAAAACAAACTAGTGAGCTACTGCTGAGATGAACTTTTATAATTTTTTTATGCTTTATTAATTGGGTTTGTGTTTATAGTGTTTAATTTTTTATTATAGTGTTTTTTGAGGCAAATAAGGCATAGAGATGTTTATACTGTTCAAACTAGTTGCATAGCATCACCTTAAATTATATAAGGGAGTTAAAATCTGTTTTTACTGCAACAAGGTGGCGATATATATTTTTGCAGATGCACTTTGTTAATTTAACAAAATAATTTTTAATCACAAATCTTGTAAGTTTTTTTTTTATCAATAACATGTATAAAACCATTTCTTGGTGTAGATTTTGAATTTTGTAGTATTTTTGATAATCATGTTTTATACATTGTGTTCATGTCATTTTGAATGATGTTGTTTAGTAGGTTGTTATGTTTTACCTTCATAAAAAATTCTCACAGGGTTAATTCAAAGAGTGCTTAATTATTTTTATATGGGGGCTTTGCTTGAAGCTAGAGAAAACAAAACATTCCCTTAAAATTTTGATTTTCTACTTTTACTGATGAAGAAGTACTTCTGATGCTCACATTTGTTGTAATGGTAACACTACAACAACTACATGGTAACTAAACATAGAATTATGCTTGGACATAAAGATAAATTTTTAGAGAAAAAAAAAACCAATGTAGTTTAAGGATATGCTCGACTTTTGTTTTGTGGTGTTTATGTAACAAATAATGGTGTTTATAATAACCAAAAAAAAGACCATATATTTTGTGGTGTTTATGTATCAAAAAAAGATTAACGTTGATAGGAAACAAATGAATTTTCTTAATTAAACTGTAAAATATGCAACATAAATATTTATAAAAGCTAGAATATTTTAATAGATAAAACAAAACTTTGTTAAATACAAAACCTCATGCTTTTTTATATAGTAAACCAGATTTGAATTTTCTTTATGAAATATTTTCCTCATTAATTTGGAGGTAGCATTTACATACTTTGGTTTAGACACCAGTCTATGGCTTCTGATTGTTAATCAAGTTATGTTTAATCATATATTTTATTCATTCGACTGATATTCAACGATATTTGTATATGACACACACATAATTCAAGTGTGTGCAAAATGTTTATAAAACAATCATGACTGAAGATTGAGGCAAAATGCTAGCTTGTTTACTCAGATGTGTTTTTATACTGAATCGAAGAAATACATATCAAAATGTAACTTTTTTAATCGTGTAATCGTTGATATATCAATTTGTTATGTTTATTCCAAAGGATGAAATAAAGCTTTGTCGAAATTTTGGATCTTTCTCTTTCAATCCGGATTTTATCTGATCTTGTAAAATCTACAGTGTGTCTTTATCAATTGACTGTAAAAATAGATATTGTTGACAACCTTCTTGTAGCACTGAACATAATACTCACTTGGATCAAGCTGCTCGATTGTATTTGTTCTAGATGAAATTGACATTATTACCCTTGTCACAATATGACATGATTCCCTTTGCCACACTATCCCAAGGCTACATTAACAGGATTCCTTTTGTCATAATATCCTGAAGCTCTAGCTATCGACACGATTCCTGTTGTCACAAAATACTGAGGCTATATTGGCATGATTCTCTTTGACACAATAGCCTTAGCTTTCCAGAGTCTAAGTTAACATCATTCCCGTTGTCAACTTTATTTACACGATTCCATTTGTCATAATATAACAAGACTGTCTGTTTAGTACCAAGGTCCTCTTATATTTCCTTTTTTAAAAAAGAAAAGAAACATAAAACTGTCTTTTTTGTTCTAGTTCAATAAATTTCATATAAATATAGTCCTAATTAGTTATTAGGAAATATAGTGCAACAAGAAAACCTTTAGAAAGAAAAGAACAAATTATTCCTTTAAATCTTTAATGAAACTTCAAAAACAATGGATTACATGCCAATCCCATTTAATATAATATACGTACATGGTAAAAATATAGATTGTTTTTGTACATATTGATTATTTCAAGTTAAAACAATATTTAGATTCTCGAATTTTTTCTGTTGTAATTCCAAAGCATCCATTTCCATCTTGATACGAAGACATAATTATTTCAAAGGGAAGTTAAAAAATGAAGAATTTTTGTGAGTCATGTATACCCCTAATGATAACCATTTAGTCAGCTACAAACCATTAAGGCACATCTGAAGATCAGCTTTTGTGGTTAAGGTAACCATGACCTTGACCTACTGACCTCGAAATCACTAGGGTTCATGAGAAAAACCTTTTCACCAAATCTGACAAACTGAAAAACAGGAATTCTCAAGTTATTGATTAAACAAGATTTTTTTTGTCATAGTCACTAACCCATGTGAATGTAACCTTTAACCTACTGACCCAAATATCAATAGGAGTCATCTTAACCCATTACTTCATATACACGCCTTTTAACGCCTTTTTTCAAACCCCCCCCCCCCCCCCCCCCCCCTTTTTTGTTGTCTCAAATGAATGAAAAAAAATGCCTTATTTAGGCCCCCAACACTTTTTTTTTGTTTGAGAAATGTTGTTTAAAAAAGTGACCTCTTTTTTCGGCGCGGCCCCCAACCAAAAGATACATCAGGGGGTTGGCCAGAAGGGGGATGTGCCCCCTTCTGTTTGGGGGGTTTGAAGGGGGGCGAGTCCCCTCATCGCCAAGAAAATTTTGGACTTGTGAGAGGCTGTAAATGACCCCAGATTGATCATAAGGTAACATGTAACCAACGTTGAAAAGCATTTGACTCTATCTCAATCCATTGAGAAGTTGCAGCACTTTGAAATCAATTTTGATGGAAAAAAAATCAACGCAAAATGTGATTTTTTGGCAATTTTGAGATGTCCCTCGTTGCCATGGTAACAGAAAATTTAAGCCTGATCATGTTGTTGCAAGGGCAATGTCCAGTCAACATTTGTGCCAAGTTTGATTAGTGTTGAAGCAGTTTTTTATAGTATTATAGCATTTGAACTTGTAACGGGAGACTTTTCAATGAAAACAGCCATTTTTCACAAAATGCTCATGAAGTAATGGGTTAAGGTCAAGGACACAAAATTTGAAATCTATATGCTACAGAATTCTTTTTTGGTTCAGTATATATTGAAAACAACTTTTCTGCTCTCATAAAGCCTCAACTGTTAAAAAGCACAAAATTTCACTCACAATTCAACAAATTATTTTCACACTTTATCACTATTGTGAAAAATTTATAATAACCTAAAATTCGCAACAAAAGTTGCTTTAAATAAAGTATTACACTTTTGACCCATCACTGAAAAATTAATATTGACAAACATGAAGAAATGCATGCATTTTAATGAACACATGAACTGTACAAAGACAAAAGATCAAATCTTTACTTCATTTTTACTTTTCATCCACATTTCTTATAGGAGCTCAAATAAGGTCAAAAAGCCTAAAAACATAAACTTGAGAATCTTACATAGATCAATTGGGGGCACTTAAAAGGAAAAATATGAATTAGATAATGTTTGTTTGTTTGTTTCATTTTACGCCTTTTCCCAACAGTATTTCAGTCATATAGGCGGGTAGTTTCCTAACCATCGTTCCTAGAGAGTTACACCAGTACTAGACTACCTTCCTCCGTGCTAAACTACCAAAGCATCTCCTGGGGATCGAACCTACGCCAGAGAGGTAACTGGGTTAGAAGTCATTGACTCTAACCCCTCGACCATGGAGGCGGTAAATTAGATAATGAAGGAATACTAAGAATGAAATTGAAAATTGATTCATAGTACATTTCTTTGCCAAAGTGGAGGTAGAAGCATTTAAACACTTCATTTTGGGATCATTTTTCACAAGAATTTTTTTTTCTGGAAAAACTGAGTGAGCCAATGATTTGAAATTCTGCACATAAGTTATTGGTATGGTACAAAATTATCAAAAAAATATTTCCAGTCCCCTCATGAAAAAAATAAACCTCAGTTAAGTCCCTTTAACACAATCATCAAACCCTCTTTTCAAACAAATACAAATATGACAAAAATCACTAACAGTATTAATTCATTAATAAATAGAAATTGTTACAATTAATATGGTGGTATATTGCACAAACAAATAATGAAAAAATACATTGTTAATTATGAGGAAAATAATTTACTCAAAACATACTGTTTCAAAAGACTTAGATACCAAACATGGCATCTTGAGTAAAGATTAAATTTTATGACCTCTAAATATAAAACATCTTTTTCCTCAGAATTAACAAAAACTATTTACAGATTTAGAATAATAGAATACAGTCAAACGTGTATTAAGCGACCGGGCAAGGGAAACACCAAAAACGGTCGCTTAATGAAACGGTCTCTTAAGACAGTCAGCATGATATAAAAGTCAAAATTTATAAATGACATCTTTTTTATTCGATGGGATTGTTTTTCAACTTCATTTTTATATAAATGTTGAATAATAAGTACGCTTCGAAAATCTAAACGGATGCAAATGTAAAAATAACGTTCTGATATTTATTGACAAAACAGTTTTGATCCATTACGTACATGTTTGACATTTTTTCCAGAATTTTTTAACTTCTCCGTTGTTTTTCCTTGTCTCCATCACGAAAACCCTATTAGTGAAGATGTTTTCTGCTGTGCATTTTTCATTTGAAATAAACAAACTACATCTATTTGTTACGATTAATTTAATGGCTGATCAAGTTCAAGGTCAATTCAATGCAGTCTAAATGTCAACAAGCGAAGCGTATACACTATCTCAGTATGGGCGGAGCGTTGCATTGTTTATCCGATATTATTGGATAATACACGTCACGCGTATACTTAACTTCATTTGCATACGCTAAAACGGTATGGGAAATAGAGTTTTTCACACGTTTATTGTTGTGTTTTGATTGCTGACACGTGTGACATAACGAGGTGGCGTTCTCTAAAAACACAATTACTTGACAGGTAAAAGTGGTCGTTTAATGAAAAGATTGATGTCAATAAGGAGACTAATTAGCGGTCGCTGGTCGCGTTGAGCAAAAGTCGCTTAATACATTAAAGATATAGAGAGAAAATGATCGGGGGGAAGTTAAAGTGGTCGTTTAAGACAAAAGTCGCTTAATACACGTGGTCGCATGGGCAAGTTAGACTGTACTTTTAATTATTTTACATAATTTACAAACAGGTTCTTTTAAGACAATTTGTATATGTATGCCTCCATAAGTCGACCTCTTCCATAAGTCAAGGGGTATAAGCGGGCCTGAACTTATATTGTTAGCCATAGTACAGATGTACAGACTGGCTGAAATTTATACTTTTATCAAAGACAAACCACCATTACATCTAGTATTCAGCAAGTAAATATAAGACATTGTGATTTGTGAACAACAATACTGGCACAAAAACTCCAAGAAATGACATGATTTGCTACTTTTAGGTAATCATAACCAATACCGAATTGTAATTATTCATAAAACAATTCCTGTATTACTGTGAATTCATTTAATTTTGTGGGTATGAAGTTTCCTGGTTTTGTCACAAGACATTTTAGTGGTTTCTTAAATTCATGGATTATCTTTTTTTTTACACACAAAAAGTGTTGTGACACTTGGTTTCTTAACAAAATTGATATCACTGCATAAGCTCTTATGATTTTGAAAAAGAAAAAAAAAACCAACAACAACTGAAACAATGTAATAATCATCTCAAATGTCAATAACTGGAAAATCTTCAATCAAGCACTACAAAATCTTACAAAGAATTAACTGGTATACAAAAACAAATGCACCACAAACAAGATAATCCGCAATGACAAACAAAAAAACATTTATGGAAGCAGTAACAAAAATAAATACCATAACACAAGTTTGGTTCACTTCAAACAGGTTCACTTCTACAGAGTAAAACTCTGAAAGCTTTTGAAGCCGAGCAAAATACAAACATACACAGAGTATTGTAACTGAAGAACTTAAAAATAATGATGACAAAAAAACTTGAATTGTAATCTGAGTTGTTCCCAAAAATCTGTTACTAAAAAAGATACAACACACTGTAAACAGATTATTGGGAAAAATTTTTTTTTTTTTTACAGCTATCCCAAATAATTAAAACTTTCCTTACAACTAAACAATACAAGTTTATTCCAAATTTTCCGTGAAAACTGCTTAGTAAATAGCCTAACTTTTAACTTGCATATGAATTTTAATCCAATTATCTAATTAAAAATCAAAACATCAAAAATACAAGCACATGAAAACATACTTGTCTATTTCAATACTCAGCAAATCAATTCATATTCCTTAGCATTAGTAGAAACTTTTTATACTACGTTTCATTTCAACAAAATGACATTATTTAACTGGTAAAACAAATTATGTCATTAAAAGCACACATTACTTTTATATTCTTGTATTATAAAAAAAAAATGCGATACATGATTCTTTTTACAAATGTATCTTAAAATGATTCCACATAAAAGCTCCAATTTCATATTGCAACATAAGCTCACACAAGTCCAATAAAAGCTCTTTATAAAAACTTATTTCTGACCTAGAAAGGTAACATTTTAACCCTTGCCCAAATTTATAAATATTCTATCTGACAGTAAATAGGCACTTTCAATATTTGTTCCTCTTTTAAACAATCTCAACATATATACGAGACCATTTATTCTTGGAAGCCGAAGTGTCAACATATTTATGATATCTCTAACAATGGTGTATTTTCCATAGGTTCATTTCGAATTAATGATAACTTTTAAGAACTGTTTGGGTATGGTTTTACCCTCTTTTTTTTAAGATTAAGCAAGATTTGGGTATGTGCTACCCTCTTTTTCCGATGAATTCAATGCTGATTGGATACCATCATTTTATTTCTCAGGATGTACCATTCACACAATGTCCGTTCATAGCTGATAGACAAATGTCTAGTTTGGAAGCCTGGTCAGCGTCTAATGTATTACGCAAGTTGGCGAAATCTGCAGGATATTTTTGTGCCACATCTTTAATTAAATCTACTACAAGTTTCTCACATTCTGCAATACAAAAACAAATATGAAATAACTTTATATTTTGCCATATATATGTTCAATTTTTTATATTTATTATGCACAATTAATCACACATACATAATTCTTTCAAAACAAAACACAAATGAACTTTGCTCTTGAAACAGCTTTAACTACTTTGATCTTAAACAGCATTTCTATGTTCAAATCACTATTGAAATAAAATCATACCAGGTTTAAATTTGTCAGTTCCTAAGCAACCAGAAGCAGCCTTTAGTATGTCTGGGATAGCTGTCACAACCTTTAACATAAACATGTAGAGAATCAATTTAGTATTCAAATGCATGTTTTGCAGCAGACATCAGCATATGGTGCTTCTATCAAAACAGATTCTGATTAATTAAGGCGATATTGTCAAAATTGGTATAACTTTCTAATAAAATTCTATCATCATTCTACAAATTAACTAAGATAATTCAATACCAGACTTTAAACCACTCTAGCAAATGTGTAAAGAACATCGTTTTTCATTCCAGATATATGATCATATTAAAATTGTACAATTGTACATGGTTGAAGATAAATAATCATTGATGCAGGGATATCTGCTCACATTAAAAAGTTTTTTGACATACAGTTACCCTCTCCCAATGTTATGAGATACATGATGGAAAATAAAGTTTTCAAAATCCTTTCATTCTTAAATCTAAGTGTGTACTTTTTAGTACATATTTTGACAATAAGTTGCTTGTACTGTTTAACAATTTTACCACTATCAAACCTTAAAAAAAAGAAATCTATTGACTTAAAAAATGTCTAGAATCATTCTTTGCTTTGCTACATTGAACTGCTTGTTAAAAAGTTACCTGTGTATTTCCTGCAGTATACAGCTGTGTAAGACATTTATAAACTGTTATATTCTCTTCCTGGTCTTCTTTCAATGGTAGGCACTTGATTACAACTGGTACAACCTGATATAAAAAATAAATATATCTATTCTTTGTTTCAATCATTCTTGATTCTGCTAAATTTGTATAATAGGCTTGACCAGCTTTGATTTTGGACTAGTCCATTATCAATTCAGGAGATATCAAGATGTAGATGCTTAAATCAAATGTCTGACAGTATTGACGGTCAGAAATGGAAGCGCAGGATGGCGTTACCCTATTAATTACAATGATTATGATATTGTAACATTTCTTAATATTTCTTCATACAATTAATCAAAGATTAATTTTTGTGAAACCCAGACAATTGGACCTTCCAATCTGAACAAAACTGTTGATCATTTTTAAGAGAATATAACAAAATAACTACAGACTGAATAGGGAACAGTGCAGACAATGATCAGACAGCACTACTGATATTGTCTGCACTAGGTGCATGGGTAGTAGCCTTTGCCCCCAGCACTGAGGCTTAGAATTAAAATACATTCAAAATCATCAATGATAATTATAGTACTTACAACATCTAAGGGGACAGCTTTATGTCCGGCCATGATCATTCTACATACAGCTGCACATACATTGTCTATTACACGTTTGTTCTTCTCCTTGTTTAATATCTCAAATAATACCTTCAATACCTCAGGGATTTTTCTGCAAGAGAAATAATCTTATAATCAAAAACAAGTACTTTAGTATTCACAAAAATAATAGTTTTATCTACCTGAACGATGTTCTGAATAGAAATTGTTTGTTTGGCGGGTTTTATGTGGCACCAATATTGTAAAAGTCATAATGACCACTTTCCAGCTTTATTGGTAGAGGGAGACCTAAGGTACCCCTCCACACGTCATTTCAGGCACCAGCATGTACCCTGAGTAGAACCACCAACATTCCACAAACTAGCTTGATAGGTCCCTCACATAAATGAATCGAAGTCCCTTCCAGGATTTGTATCAACAGTGGTGAGGGGCAAGTGATTTAAAATCAAAGACCTTAACCACTCAGCCACAGAGGCCCTATTCCGAATATAAATCTCAGGACTGAAATTAAAGCTGTCATCAAAATTGTTAACATTCTTTAACTTATCACAAACATTTACTTTCCTTCACATAACCTATTTCACTCTGGTTTGAAAGATCTACCGAAGTTGTAGAATTTGACAGTGGTCACACATTCATCTTCATCTCCCAAAGGAGCAAATTGTTTATTCAAATCTCTATGGTTTTCATCACATTTTTGTACTTACTTCAAGAATGAATCTAGCGCAAAATACATGAAAATTTGTCCTATTAGAACAAAAATAAGGTTATAGTAAGTACTTTAGCTATCATTCAAATCAGTTTAGTCAATGAATTGTCTACAATTTAACAAGACATACATAAAAGACAGTATCGCTCACCCTTGTATTTTCTGGCCGCAGTTTGCGACTAGTACACCCAGCGAGTATACAGAGTTACTTCGAACCTCATCGTCATGTTCTCTCACCATCTTCATAAAGACTGGGTATAGTGTTTCTGCATACATACTGACAGCTGGACCAACAGCTTCTATAGTCTCTCCTAGGGTACCAACAGCGAAAGATTTCTCTGCTGTAGAACTCGTCTGCCTCTAAAACAGTGATAAAATTATATAACAGATAAGTAACATACTTATATCAAAACTTATGTTCATCTAAATAAATCATATCAATTTATATAAGGAACAAGAGCCACCGCTGGGCGGGGGCCATGCTTGACTTTTTACTTTTTCTAAACGCAAACATAGTAAGGTTTGAACATATCTTAACGTTTCCTTTTTATAAATTTAGTTGGTCTGTTTTGTCACATTAGTTTTGTTTATATATTTTGTATATATATATGAATAAAACTATTACGCAATTTCTAAAAATAGCAACATTACACAATTTCTAAAATTAGCAACATGATGCAATTTCTAAAAATAGAAACAATGACGCAATTTCTATAAATAGCAACAATGACGCAATTTCTAAAAATAGAAACAATGACGCAATTTCTAAAAAATAGAAACAATGACGCAATTTCTATAAATAGAAACAATGACGCAATTTCTAAAAATAGAAACATTATGCAATTTCTAAAAATAGCAACAATGACGCAATTTCTAAAAATAGAAACAATGACGCAATTTCCAAAAATAGCAACAATGACGCAATTTCTAAAAATAGAAACTATGACGCAACTTCTAAAAAATAGAAACAATGACGCAATTTCTAAAAATAGAAACAATGACGCAATTCTTGTTGTTGTTGTAAATATATATATATACACACACACACCAATAAATATATAATTATGGTCATTTAATGCACAAATCTGAGAAAATTCAGTAATTTAACCTTCAAGGTCAAGGTCAAGAGCCCAAGCAAATTTGGGTTCAGGGTTCCCACTCTTAGATATTTTGAAAATTTAAGGACTTTTCCAGGACTTATCAAGGACCTTTTTTGATTTTTTAAGGACTTTTTAGAAGATTAAATTTCAAGCTACATGTATTTGATTTTTTTGTCCTATGAATATGTTCATGGTAATGTTTAGAACAACATTTAATAACACCAATATAATACATGTAGTTCATGACATAAATCTAATTCTTTCTAAGAAATACATTCAGTGTCTATAAATAATGAAATGTACTTTGAGACAGCAACTGTTTTTGCAGGTTGTCTGCAATTTTCATGTAATTTTGCTGTTTTTAATGCTTCCAAGGGATCACTTTTTATACCAGATATTCATAGTACTTTAATTAGTAACGTGACATTTGACCTCAGTCCACTAAGGCTTCATAGAATGGCAAAAGCATGTCACACTGAAGGGTATATGAAAACTGCCTGCAGGTGTTTCTACATTCAAAATTTCACGACTTTCATGTTAAAATATAGTATTCTGCTTAAGCCAGTGCTACGGGTGCACTTTCCAGTACCATATATCAAGCCCTAGTCTACAACATTTTCAATTTTGCCGTTTTGGATGTTATTTAGGGATTCTTTTTTGTATTTCAACGACATATCTTTTGATTTGATCTTACAATTTTTTAAACCATCTACAAAATATGGCGGCAGCATGAAATACCCAAATATACCCAAACACACTAAATTATAGCAATATTCATTTTGGTTTGTATACAATATTGATTTTAATGAGAAAATGAATTGATATTTACAAAATAATATGACTTAGCCAACTATAACTTTCGATCATTCCATTGAAATTGGCAGTTCTGATGTTGTAAGAAACTAGAAATGTGTCATCATGCCACGGATGCCCCCGCATGCAGCCAAAATTTCAGATGGTGCATTAATTATTTTTTTCATTTTAAGTTTAAAGCCCTTAAAACTTTTCAATGTTAACACAAACCATTTTCATAAAATGTTCAAGGCATTGAAACTATTCAGTCTAAACCTTTTAAAAATAGCATATTGCATATTTGTAGCCAAAATAATGGCTAAAAGTAAGAGTGCTGAAACTGAAAGTTCAAAATTTTTCCAACATTCAGGAAAGATAAGTTTGTCTTAAATCATTGAACTACAACCAAATTCAAACTTAAACTGCTTATTCCTAAGATGTATCTATATTATTTTCAAAGTGAAAGGGACATAACTCTGCCAAAAAATCATCAAACCATGACCATATTCCAACTTGACCTGCCCATTCCTTTGACATATCCATATGTCAAATTTAAGTTGAATATGTAACACTGTTGGGTAGGTAATGAACAGAAACTGTAAATTTCATATTATTTTCAAAGTGAAAGGGGCATTACTCTGCCAAAAACCATTGAACCATGACCAAACTCAATCTTGGCCTGGGCATTCCAAAAACATATCCATATGTCAAATTTGAGTTGAATGTGTTGTACCATTGGGAGAGAATGAACGGAAACTGAAAATTTCATATTATTTTCAAAGTGAAAGGGGCATAACTCTGCCAAAAATCATTGAACCATGACTAAATTCGAATTTGACCTGCGCATTCCTTTGACGTATCCATATGTCAAGTTTGAGTTGAATGTGTTGTACCTTTGGGGAGATAATGAACGGAAACTGAAAATTTCATATTATTTTCAAAGTAAAAGGGGCATAACTCTGCCAAAAATCATCGAACCATGACCAAATTCGAACTTGACCTGTATTTTCTCATGACATATCCATATGTCAAGTTTGAGTTGAATGTGTTGTACCGTTGGGGAGATTAAACGGAAACTGAAAAAATCATATTATTTTCAAAGGAAAAGGGGCATAACTCTGCCAAAAATCATCGAACCATGACCAAATTCGAACTTTACCTGTATTTTCTCATGACATATCCATATGTCAAGTTTGAGTTGAATGTGTTGTACCCTTGGGGAGATAATGAACGGAAACTGAAAATTTCATATTATTTTCAAAGTAAAAGGGGCATAACTCTGCCAAAAATCATTGAACCATGACGGAATTCGAACTTGACCTGTATTTTCTCATGACATATCCATATGTCAAATTTTAGTTGAATGTGTGCAACCATTCTTAAGATAATGAACGGAAACTGATGATGACGGAATGACAGAATGACGAAGGGCGGAATGACGGAACGACGGAATGACGGAACAGGGTAACACTATATGCCCCGGCCATTACATGGCGGGGGCATAATAACACTATATGCCCCGGCCATTACATGGCGGGGGCATAAAAAAATGTGACATTTGCTTATCTAACTGTTAGGTTCATTAATGAATAGGCACATGTACTTGCAAGATATGATAATATTTGTTGTCTACATTTAAATTTGTAGGGTATAATTTTGTTGAAATTTCATACAAGTTCATTTGTATTATTTTTTTAATTTAATAGCTTTAATGGAGTATACTGTATTTGGGTATATTTTGGTTCAAAAATGTATATTTGGGTATGTTTCATTACATCTTAGTGAAAGTGTATATTGTATTCATGATTAAAACAGCACTTTTTTAGTAAAACACATTTATTTTTAGTATATTCTTGTTATATTTGGGTATTTTGTGCTACCCAGATATGGTGTGGCCAATTGGCTGTGTGCTGCCTTGACAATAGTTCATGCATGTAATACTATTTTTTTATTTTATATTGATTTACCTTTGGCTTTTAGCATGGTAGTGAGCAATTAGGATACAAAAATTTGCCAAAGGAAACAACCATTTACCCTGTACGTCAATGCCCCAGAGTAGGTTATGTACAGTATTGGAAGAAGAACCAGACCTGTGAGCTTTCATCTTAGCACGGGCCAATCAAGCAAACTTAAGGTTGATTTGTGACTGTCTTCCTAGATTTTCCAAACAAAACCGCCATAGTAACCAGAAAATAAATGATAAATCTCATAAATGTCAAACTTGGCCTCCCAAAACAGTTGTAAATCGAAAATCATCAACATTCAAGATGCGGAAGTCAATATACTGTGCAAAGACCGCCATTTTGGTTTTTTTGATTTACCTCCCCTTTTCCAGACTAATTCCCGTACCTTCCCCGACTTTTTTATGTATCAACACTAATTCCCGGACTTTTCAAGGCCGGGAGCTCCAATGTTCAAATTCACGGACATTTCCCGTTTTCCCGGACAGCGTGGGAACCTTGTGGGTTTGATAAACAACGAGGTCTGATCCTTAAGAATGTTCTGTTATAATATGAAGTTGATCCCTTCAATAATAGCAAAGTTACAGTCAGTTACCGCCAAAACAATGAAAATTTCAATAATTTGACCTTCAAAGACAATGTCATTAATGAGTGAAGGTCAAGGTCTTTCGGTATATTTTTAACAGTTATCTTTGAAGATTATTATGTTCAAGTTTCAAGACAATCCATTCAAAAATAACAAAGTTACAGCCAATAATAGTAAAAAAAATGAAAATTTCAATAATTTGACCTTCAAAGTCAAGGTCATTTATGAGTGAAGGTCAAAGTCTGTCTAGTTATTTTTAAGGGATATTCCTGAAGATAATTATGTTCAAGTTTGAAGACAATCCATTCAAAAATAACAAAGTTACAGGCAATAACAGCAGGAACAAGCAAAAATTGGACTTTTAACCTTGAAGGTCAAGGTCATTTATGGATGAAGGTCAAGGTTAGTGTGGTCTACTGAAAGGTCTTGTCCCAAGGGTTGTTGTGGCCAAGTATGAAGACAATACACCAAGAAATAAAAAAAGTTATGATCCAGGTACAAGTTTGTGGACGGGAACGGCAACGCCGACCTGACTATAACAATACCTCTACTTTTTTTTCAAAAAAAAAAAGTCGAGCTAAAAACTAAAGTAAGATTGATAGGTAAAACTAACAAAAGGGGCTACAAAATCCATTGTCCCTGTTGCCCAGGTTGTCCAACAGGCAGTAACGAAAATTTCCAGAATTTACTTTATAAATATTATACTGACATGTCAAGAAATCTTTAAGACTAAACAAGAACACTCAAGTCAAACTCAGGAGTTTCCAGTCATGCTGTATTTTGTTAAGACCATTGATCACCCAATACAACTGAACATTTGTTTAGCAGGAAAAATCAACTTCAATACATATATCCATCACAATGTTCGACTATAATTGTATACCAAGTTTAGGCAATGAAACAAAGATTCATGATAAAATTACTACCAAAACCTCCATGTTGTTTGACCAGTTCTAAGATTTAGCCAGAATAATTCTTAACCATTTCCTTATAAAAATTATCTCCTTGGATATATCAATTTAAACAATATTAAACATATTATCGAACTTGTTTAAACATACCATTCTTTTAAGAAGATCGGGTAAGAAACCACCAAGGAATCCTAGGAAATGTTCGCCACCTATCAACTTGGCCATTATAGGTATAACGTCACCAGCAGATTCTATCAACATGCCGTCAAACTCCGCCTGCTCATCCTCATCATCTTCTTCCTCCGCCTCCTGACACGCCACCTGAATAAATTACAACATATTAGATTTTACTTTACGATGAACTAATCTAACTGACACGCCACCTGAATAAAATACAATACATTAGATTTTACTTTACGATGAACAAATTTAATTGCTCAGTATGAAAAGGTGCGTTTTCAAACTTTTTTGTAGTCTGTGAAGTTCCCATGTCTATCTAATGTCGAAACATTTCTGCAAATCTTGACATGTTGTATATGGAAGCCAAGTGTACATTCCAATAATAAAGATGCACCCTTAAATTACCTCTATTAAGATACAAGTTAATGAAGATATAGTATATCTTAATAGACCACTGGTTCCAGCATTTACAACAGTTTTCTGTAAACTCCTCCAGTATTTACAATGGAGTCTGCATAGATCTTTAAAACTTTCAAAGCTCACATGTAGCACTATTACAGCTTTATAAAATAAATTCCTATGAATTCTTCTTAACAAGCAAGCCTACTAACATTTTCTTTTTCTTTTCTGATTTCTTTTTATATTTATTAATAAAATAAATTTTTGATATCTAAATCTTCACTTTTACCTTGTGTATGAAAATCAGTTTCATCTTTGTAAGAATCTGATCTGTAGCGTCCTGTACCTGCAACACTGGCTGACCTACTTTCTCTAAAAGGTCATGTATAACATCAACTGTTGCCATGACAACCTCTCTGTCATCATCGTCGGCTATTATTGACAGGAATCTTGGTATCAATGTGTTTAACATGGAACTTAAAGCTGAAAAATTGGAAAGAACCACATCTTTAGTTAGTTACAGAATGACAATTCAACTGAGGGTATTACCAACTGGATCATTCCATTCTTAAGATAAAGCCTGCCACAAACATCAAGAGGAAAAACAAGAGCATGGCATGCATCAAGGCTAATCTGTTAAAATAACCACTTTTGACAACAACAAAATTCAAAAAGGGTCATAAATTCAGCTTTCAGAATTATGCCCCTTGTCTTTCTACTGCACCTTGTCATGATAAGCAAGTAATCAAAGTTTCATGAAGATAATTTTTCAAATGTTGAATAATGGGCTACATTAATGTTTTTAAAAGTCAAAAATTACAAAGACAACAACAACGCAGTGATCATAAAAGCTCCACTTTTTCTTCAAAACGGACAAGCTCAAAAAGACTAATGCCCCAAGACCTTTTAAAAACATTTATTTTGATATCAACAGTTTAAAGTTACAACTCAAAATAATGCACACTTTCTTGCAGTGGGTTTTAATCCGGCCCTTTCAATTTAATTCTTCAATGCAAGAGAGCTATCTATCCAGCTAGGGTTTTTTTTGTAGAAATAATCTGATTTCAACTTGTGAGAGGAGCATCTGCAGTCTTCCTGAATCAGTCAAAAGTTCAAAACTGGCATGTCTTCACATTATCTCTACATGACTACAGAACAATGTTAAAAAAAATGTTGCAAAACCTATGTTATAATTCCTTACCAAGATGGGAGGGTCCATTATCACCACTAGAGGGTATCTTGTTCACCTCATGTATACAAATACAGAACTGTCCGAGAGCTGCTACCACTCCTTTTTTCACACGGGATGATGGGTAATCTAACAAGGCAAGTAACTCTTGATAGCTCTCCTCCAAATATGGTAAGAATGCAGCCCTGAAGAAAAAAGATCTCAAATAAGAATAATATCAAAATTTATAGTAAGAATGTACAGAATCGCTTTATTCCTGCTTTAAATTTGAACAAATAAGGTAGTGTAAGAAGATAATAGCAAAACAATAAAATCAAGCTGGTCATACACACAATTAAAGCATTGAATTCCTGCAAAATCAATTGTGTGATTCACAAATTTTAAAATGACGTCACTATTGATTTACATAGGATTCATGACTTTTTATATTAAACATGTGTAATATAAAGAAATACTGTATACTAGTAAGTGGTTAAGTTTATAGCAATGCAGAACTACTGGTGAATTTTGCGAATTGGCGAAAATCTTTAAAGTTTTCACTAGCGTAAATATCAACCAACCTGTCATAACATTCTATTGTTGCACTCAGAGATCGGGAATTTCTCTAATATGTCTGGAATTACTAAATTTTTGACGTGATGAAATATCCACTTAAACATTATCGTAAGCTACATCACAACAAAAACGAACAACTTCTTGTTCAAACATTTATTTACCCAGCATTGACAGCTATTTCTCCCATGGCAACTGCAGTATCTTCCTTCTCCTCCATGTAGGCATTTTCCACACTGATTCCCGCTATATCCGAGGTATCACCCTCGGCCTCAGCTTCCTCAGCCTCAATATCTACCTCATCATCAAACTCTGCATCATCAAACATAAAACTGCTCTCCTCCTTTATATGAGCCTACAAAAACAGTTGTGTGGACAAATAAAATTCATATAGGACTTGTATAATCAAAGTTAAATGAACTTGTATAATCAGTTATATGGACTTGTATAATCAGTAAGGCTCCCACGTTTACAATTTTTTGTAAATGTTTACACGATTGCTAAGAACCGAAACAATACCGTTTAAACGGTGGCACCTCTATGTACTATACACACCATGTATTTGAGTCGCCAAATGATGTCTTGCTTTCTATTTTTAATCCATGTACAAACAAGAGCCCAGTTTGAGCCGGGTGATACTCCCCGAATAGGTTTTGGACACAGGAAAGTACACCTCTTGTAGTTTCAGAGTTATGTCCGTGGAAAAAGTTCAAAGTGCAATAATTCCAAAATTAGGCAAGGCTGTTACAGTTCTTTGCACTGCACTTCTAATCAATGTGATCTATCAACCTACAAAGTTTCTTGATGATATCTCTTATGATATCCGAGTTATGTCCTGGACAATTCAAAAAGTAAAAATAAACAAAGGGCAATAACTCCAGAATTAGGCAAGGTAGAGTTATGATTCTTGTGCACTGCACATCTACCCATTGAGATTTATCTACCTACAAAGTTTCATGTTGATATCTCTTATAGTTTTACAGCTATGTCCTGGACAAGATTTTTCTAAAAGGGGAGATTATTCAAAAATAAGGCTTAACAGAGTTATGGTTCTTTTGCAGTGCACATCTATCCATTGAGATCTATTCACCTACAAAGTTTCATGTTGATACCTCTTATAGTTTTAGAGTTATGCCCCGGACAAGATTTTTCTACAAGGGGAGATAATTCAAAAACCGGGCAAAATAGAGTTATGGTTCTTTGACACTGCACTCCCCCTCAATGCCCTCTACCACTGTATGAAGTTTTAACAAATTATCTCCAAGGGTTTTCAAGTTATGTTCCGGACAAAGTTCAAAGTATTAAAATAAACAAAGGGCAATAACTCCAAAATTAGGACAAAAAGAGTAATTGTTCTTATGCACTGCACATCTACCCATTGAGATCTATTCACCTACAAAGTTTCATGTTGATATCTCTTATAGTTTTTAGAGTTATGCCCCGGACAAGATTTTTCTATAAGGGGAGATAATTCAAAAAACCGGGCAAAATAGAGTTATGGTTCTTTGACACTGCACTCCCCCTCGATGCCCTCTACCACTGTATGAAGTTTCAACAAATTATCTCCAAGGGTTTTCAAGTTATGTTCCGGACAAAGTTCAAAGTATTAAAATTAACAAAGGGCAATAACTCCAAAAATTAGGACGAAAAGAGTTATTGTTCTTATGCACTGCACATCTACCCATTGAGATCTATTCACCTACAAAGTTTCATGTTGATATCTCTTATAGTTTTAGAGTTATGCCCCGGACAAGATTTTTCTATAAGGGGAGATAATTCAAAAACCGGGCAAAATAGATTTATGGTTCTTTGACACTGCACTCCCCCTCGATGCCCTCTACCACTGTATGAAGTTTCAATAAATTATCTCTAAGGGTTTTCAAGTTATGCTCCGGACAAGACAACGGACGGACAGACGGACGGACGGACAAGGCGCCGACTATATGCTCCCCCGAAATTTTTCGGGGAGCATAATAAAGAATGTGCAGGGCTCATCACGATTGAGTCAGCACACATTTTCTGCATTGAGTCAGCACAAATTGTATCCCCATTTTTACCAAAAATGTATTATGTCACGAGCAATTTTGCACGGTTATGCTGTGTGGAGGGTTGTAAACACCCATTTTCCGTTTTAGACTTTGGAATAAACCACAAGAATTGATAAAATCCATGATTTCAGGCAATTAAGATATTTTGTAAGACAATATGGTCATTTCGATAAAACTGTAAAAAATATCGTAAATGTTTATGAATGAAAATCGAAACGAATCCGTTTAAACGTGTAATCGTGGGGGCCTTAATAATCAGTTATATGGACTTGTACAATCAGTTATATGGACTTGTATAATCAGTTATATGGACTTGTATAATCATTTATATGGACTTGTACAATCGGTTATATGGGTTTGTATAATCAGTTATATGGACTTGTATAATCATTTATATGGACTTTTACAATCGGTTATATGGGTTTGTATAATCAAGGTTAATGAACTTGTATAATCAGTTATATGGACTTGTATAATCAGTTATATGGACTTGTATAATCAGTTATATGGACTTGTACAATCAGTTATATGGACTTGTATAATCAGTTATATGGACTTGTATAATCATTTATATGGACTTGAACAATCGGTTATATGGACTTGTATAATCAGTTGTATGGACTTGTATAATCATTTATATGGACTTGTACAATCGGTTATATGGGTTTGTATAATCAAGGTTAATGAACTTGTATAATCAGTTATATGGACTTGTACAATCAGTTATATGGATTTGTATAATCAAGGTTAATGAACTTGTATAATCAGTTATATGGACTTGTACAATCGGTTATATGGGTTTGTATAATCAAGGTTAATGAACTTGTATAATCAGTTATATGGACTTGTACAATCAGTTATATGGGTTTGTATAATCAAGGTTAATGAACTTGTATAATCAGTTATATGGACTTGTACAATCAGTTATATGGGTTTGTATAATCAAGGTTAATGAACTTGTATAATCAGTTATATGGACTTGTACAATCAGTTATATGGGTTTGTATAATCAAGGTTAATGAACTTGTATAATCAGTTATATGGACTTGTACAATCAGTTATATGGGTTTGTATAATCAAGGTTAATGAACTTGTATTATCAGTTATATAGACTTGTATAATCAGTTATATGGACTTGTACAATCAGTTACATGGGCTTGTATAATCAGTTATATAGACTTGTATAATCAGTTATATGGACTTGTACAATCAGTTACATGGGCTTGTACAATCGGTTATATGGGTTTGTATAATCAAGGTTAATGAACTTGTATAATCAGTTATATGGACTTGTACAATCAGTTACATGGGCTTGTATAATCAAAATTATATTGAATTGTATTATCAAAGTTATATGGGCTTGTATAATCTTGGTTAAGCTTCTATGTAACACTGTTTGCTATTTAGTCAGTTCATACTTTGAAAGTTAATTTTTCAGTAAAAATGATCGTTTTGTCCAGATTAATAGATGGACAATTCCATTTAAAATATTTATCACAAAGTAAAATACAAACCTTTACACCCTCAGCAGATCGTAGTGAGAGCAGCATAAAATGCATCATAGTCTGTAAATACTCTCCTATGTTTCCCTTCAGGAGTGTCGAAAGTGCCGCAAATAAACCATATCTACAACATAATACACTCATTACACTTTATCTAAACTAATCTTTTCTTACAACTTTATTTTCTATCAAGCCCTTCCTCCCAAACAATATGTGACATGGAAATAATCTGCCAAAAATGTTCAAACATTGCCTTCTGCAGCCATTTCTTCTAACAGAGATGTTATGATAAACAAGTTTTTTATACTCTCAAGCACAATTGAAATATTAAGGTGTTGGTCAGGTCACAGTAGTAAGCTACTTTGAATTCATAAGAGCATAGTTCAGCCTTCACTTTCAGAAGGAACCGATAACTTCTGTACATGCCAGAGCAAAGGTACAGTGCAAATGACCATAGAAAGGATTTCATGGTTAATCAAACAGAAGTGACTTGCACTGTCAGGGAAGTGAGCTCAGGTTGCCCAATTTACAGTCCAAGGCTCTACCTAATAACCTTTTACCTCATATAGGTGTGTTTTCACTCTTTTGCAACAGCCCCCATCATCGCCAAGATAATTTTGGATTTGTGAGTGGATAAAAATGGCCTCAGTTTGATCTTAAGGTAACATGTAAACAACACTGAAAAGCTTTGGCTCTTTCATCTCAATCCATTGAGAAGTTGCAGCACTGTGAAATCAGTTTTGATGGGAAAAAACATCCAAAAATAGTGATTTTTGAGACGTTCCCATGTTGCTATTGATAACAGGAAATTTAATATCGAGCTATGGTCAAATTAACATTTGTGCCAAGTTTAATCAGTATTGAAGAATCTTTTTATAGTTTCATAGCAGTTTGAACTTGTAACAGGAGGCTTTTCAATGAAAGCAGCCATTTTTTGCAATATGCTCATGCATTAAAATGTTAAGCTAACTACATTTTTAAATATTACAATCTCAACAGTGTGCATTTTATAAAATGTAAATTTTAAGCTTTATTTACATGCATCTTCTTTGATCAGGGTCCTCGGCTGTGTTGAGGAGATTCAAACCAAACTGTATACTCTCCTTAGTGAGAGGCTGGAACAGTTCAGCACCTACACATCGTGCCAGCACACCCAGTGTATCTGTAAACAAACATGTTGTCAGTAGAGTTCATTTTTGCAAGTTTTCTTTTTCTTCAAATTTTGTTAATCGCCTGTTAGTCGTAATAGAGTTAAGATTATTTTTCTTATGTTGAAAGGGTATAGAGCTATATCTGATTATTTATCTATTTTTTTTTATAACATTTTTTAACAGTAAAATTGTGTTGTTTACATAAACTTATAGTTGATTCTAGTAAAAAATGTCTCTGATTATTTAACACACATGGACACTGTACATGCAAATTGAATACACTGATCCGACTGCTATTTCAAGCAGGGCATTGAATATTGAGTTACAATCGTTTCGCACCAAGGCATCCATATTACAAGAGTTACAATACAAGTGTAGATTCAATCAGTTTGAACGAGAAAATAAATTAGTGTTTGAAAATATGTCCAATAGGATTACAGCATTTCAATTGAATCACTGTAACACACTTACTTATTAAGAAGTTAATTGGCATAAATCAATCAGTCAAGTTATTTAAAATCAACTGTTTATCATAATAATTTCAAACATTTAATTGGTTAGTTTTCAATAGTAAGCATTTACAAAATTAAATTGGTTGAGAACGGCTCTTGACCAATTTAATTTGGTAAATGCTTACTTATAAACACCATTAGGCCATCCTTAAAAAAATGTTTGTTTGCAGTAACGCGACCGACTCACAAAATTTGCCCCTACTCAAAATTTTTTTTCATGGTCTGGATAAAAAAAATTTTTTTTTGAATCAGAAAAATATGCCTTGTGCTTTGTTTTCGTTCTTTTAAAGGTTAATAGAAGAAATAAAATGTAGATCTTATTAAATTAGAATTCAGTTATCAATTTCTTAATTGTTACCAGATTATCAAAGCATATATTGTCCAGCATTTTGAAATTCCATGTTTATTTAGGAGTACAGTTCAATAAAAAAAAAAAAAAAAATCGACCTACCTACCCACCTTGAAAATTCTAGGTTGGGTTACTGCAAACAAACATTTTTTTAAGGATGGCCTTACCTATAGATAGTTTAATAGTTGGCCATTGAATTTAATGGTCTTTATTCTGAAGTGGTTTAATATAGGGATTGGTTGTAATACATGTCTTATAATAATAATAATAATAACAAGAATGTCGAACGACACATATACCCCCCTTTCTAGCCATTGACTCACAAAATTGGTAATTTTATTACAGAAACTTGCCAAAAATGGGTACATGGAAGTGTTCAATTATGGAAAAATCAATGGAAACCATTTTGACATTTAAGGCCCCTGTGACATTTACCTTTGACCTAATGACCCCTAAATCAATAGAGGTCATCTACTACTTATGACCAATAACTAGGTGAAATATGAAGACTTTGTGATGAATACTTTTCAAGATAATCAGCAGAAACCCTTTTGACATTTAAGGCCCCTATGACCTTGACCTTTGACCTAGTGACCCCAAAATCAATAGGATACATCTACTAGTGATGACCAATCACTATGTGAAATATGAAGACTTTGTGATACACACTTTTCAAGATAATCAGCGGAAACCATTTTGACATTTAAGGCCCCTGTGACCTTGACCTTTGACCTAGTGACCCTAAAATCAATAGGGGTCATCTACTAGTTATGAACAATCACTGTGTGAAATATGAAGACTTTGTGATAAATACTTTTCAAGATAATCAGCGGAAACCATTTTGATATTTAAGGTCCCTGTGACCTTTGACCTAGTGACCCCAAAATCAATAGGATCCATCAGTGATGACCAATCACTATGTGAAATATGAAGACTTTGTGATACACACTTTTCAAGATAATCAGCGGAAACCATTTTGACATTTAAGGCCCCTGTGACCTTGACCTTTGACCTAGTGACCCTAAAATCAATAGGGGTCATCTACTAGTTATGACCAATCACCATGTGAAATATGAAGAAGACTTTGTGATGCATAGTTTTCAAGTTAATCAGCGGAAACTATTCTGATATTTAAGGTCCCTGTGACCTGACCTTTGACCTGGTGACCCCAAATCAATAGGTGTCATCTACTAGTTATGACCAATCACTATGTGAAATATGAAGACTTTGTGATAACTACTTTTCAAGATAATCAGCGGAAACCATATGGTCTACCGACGGACCGACATTAGCAAAACAATATACCCCCTCTTCTTCGAAGGGGGGCATAATAAAGACTTTATTTAAAGAGGCAACATAGTTGGGCATGCCCAGTCTTCCCTATGAGCCTCTATCAAATATACAATGTACATAATATAAACATTTACAAACAAAAGGTATGATAAACAACAACAAAATTACAAATACAATGTAGTTACATGTAAGAAACATGTAAAATGAAAATCTAGGGGAAAAACATATAAGAATATAAACATTGCAATTCAGATATACATTTTAATATCATTTTATAATACAACTTGATGTGTTTTTTTCCCACCAGAGAACCACCATTTCAGATTATTATTTTTGAACGATTGTAAATTTGTGGAAAAATAATTATCTGAAATGGTGGTTCTCTGGTGGGAATAAAACACATCAAGTTGTATTATAAAATGATAAATGTATATCTTCTATAATTCAATAAAGTACCTTTGGAACAATTCATATTTTTTATGTTTTAGAACCTATATTTGGGAAAATAACAACAACAAAAAACCAGCTGTTTTCTCTTCATTTTTTTCATCCTGACAAAAATAAATTTTAATAGTGGTCTAATTTGGCCATTCCTATTTTGCATTTACACATTTAACCTACGAAATTTGTTTTACTGAAAGAAGTACATTTCAGCTTAAATGCACTCAACTTAGGATATGTGACATAATGGGACAAGAAATATTTTCACAATATTTGAGTCTATACCAATAACATGTGTGCAAAATTTCAGACTATTTACTTACTCAGTTTTTCAAGAATATTCATTTTCATTGTGCAACATGACCTTTAAATATGAAGTGATAAAAAGCTTTAAACTTAAATTTCTTTTAAATATTGATTTTCAATTTAATTCTATGTTCAATGTTCATTTCTTTTTATCTTTCTCATATTTTTGTGCCCCAATTGATCTTTATATAAGACTTTCAAATTTCATTTTGAACATCTTAATGGTGTTTCTTTAATAAATGAAATACAGTATTTGATTCATATAAATGAAATATTTAAAACAGGAATCATCTATTTTTTAATAATATCATTTTTTTTTGTCAGATATTTATGTATACTTTCATTCAACATATGTCAAAATATTTCATGCTAAATACAAAAATAAAATTTGGAGTATAAAAACTAAACATTTCAGAAAAGTATCTGTATTTTCATTTTATCTCGATTTAATTGCATTTCATCATTATATACACGACGGTTCACCTCGTTTTAAACTTTTAAAATACCTTAACCATGTATATGTGACCAGTATGGGCTCCAAGACAAATCTCCTGGCCGTATTTACATCATTATCTAACATCATTTACAATCACAGTGTCTTATTACGCTTTTGATCGCATTTCTTCCGATACACTTCATTATTAAATGTCCCGACATTTCAGGGGGGATTATCAGCGTGTTACTATTCAAGTTCGGTACATTGTTACGAGATAGTATTTTCACTAACCTGCTGTAATTCAGTGTAACAAGCACTGTTTGGTCCTATATAATCTGCTATTTTTGGCGGATTAAGAAAAACTTATCCTTAGACTATTAAAACAAGATTTTTTATAGACATTGTTTAAGGTTAATGACAACCTGCGATAAAATTCTGTACATTTTTGTGATTGTGACAGTCTGTTAGTATAATGATAGATAAAGTTGATTACACCATTATGGAAATGCTAAAATAATTTTTTTTTTTAATGATTCTTGAAGAATTCAAACCTATTAAATTAACAAATTATTTGAAGTGAAACCAAACAATCACTGCTCAAAATATACAAATGTGATAAAACATAAATAATAAATATATATAACATATTTTAATAAAGAATAATAAATATAAAACAAAATATACTTAAAAATTTTTTTTTGACATGCATATTATCATTTATAAGGTGCAATAAATAATGTTACTATACAATTAAAAATTTGTCAGTAAGTAACTTACTGACAAATTTTAAAGTTAAAATTCTTACCAATTACTGTTTGATTAGCAAAAAAAAAAAAAGAAAAAAAGTTTTCATTATATTCCCACCATTTTCTCTAGATTAAGATATTTTTTTAATCATAAATTGGTATAAGGTAACACTAGAACTTTATATGTATACTTGTATGTTTTATCAGTTTTCTCTCCAGAGGACAGGGGCTGGGGAAGGAGGGTGGTGTAGTAAGTTGTTTGCTTTAACATGACCAAGGTAAAATTTTCATTTCATAAATGCAAGAGAATTGAATGTCAAAAATGGAAGCATGTTTCTTTTATCAAAACCTTACCCTATTAAACATCTTAAATGGACTTTAAATGGTCTATTTTTCAATCTGGACAGAATCCTTCATCATTTTTAGGGACAATTTTGTAACATGTACTTACTGAATACGTAACAGTTCAGACTATGATCAGACAGCAGGGAAGTGCTGGCTGAATTGTTCTGCTCTGATGGCACGGGTAGATTAAGTTGCTGCCAGAAGGCTAAGGGTTTATATCAACTGGTCAATCTGCTTCTATTTCTATATTTAGATGGAACAATTTTGCTCTCAGCCTTTGATATATGAATGCATAGAATAAAGCTGAATTAGAGGTCCCAACACAGCTTGAGCAGGTAAGTGTTAAGTGGCCCACTTAATACTTGATAATTCGATAGAATTCACATCCAATAAACAAATTATGTTTTCTAACCCTATTTAACATGAAAATGCTAGCACCATTTCTTACATTATTTTAACATGAAAATGCTAGCACCATTTCTTACATTATTTTAACATGAAAATGCTAGCACCATTTCTTACATTATTTTAACATGAAAATGCTAGCACTATTTCTTACATTATTTTAACATGAAAATGCTAGCACCATTTCTTACATTATTTTAGCTTATTTTGTGGCATACACCATCACCTTAATGCAGTAAAGGTTAATTCCTTTAAAATTCAATAGGAGTTAATCCATTACTGCACTAATGTGACGATACATGTTTTCACCAATGACTATAAAAGGTTTTGATGCCTGGTATTCAACTACCTTAACACTTCAAATGACAAATGAATTTACTGCTACACTGGTCTAATTTAAATCTCGCCCAGTCTATTTTATACGAAATATATACATAAATACTTTATTCACAAAAATAAGAGGACCAAACAAGATTACTTCCCAGAGGCTTCACGATTAAGGCATCAATTCCACGGATGACTGTCAACCAGGTATCTATTGGACAATTTAATTCTCCAGAGCTTAATTTCTTCATGTTAACAAAACATACATTGTCACCCTGACATATTCTAGGACTGTCATTTCCTCTTGTGCGATTTTTTTCCCTGTCTATTGTAAAAAATATTAGATTTGCAGGATATGATGAGGAAATTAAACACATGGATTTCCAGTCGTATAGCACGATTCTTGCCTTAACATGACCCACATGTTATCTCTGGAAGGGCTTCAGCATATGATATTGCTTGTTAAGGAGTGAAAACAACTTAAATCCATCAACGTAAAATGCTCATATTTATACATGGAGATCTATAGACTTTGAATTAAATAATCGTGTTCGGGAATTCATTATATTAAATGGAATATTGAAAATTGGCAAGTTCTTGTAGAATTACTAAGCATATTTAATTGGGACTTAATTATTCACTTTAAGAGTATCTCATTTTACAGAGAGATAACTCGGTGAAATCAATGTATTATTTTGTTTGAGTGATTTTTATCTGCACGGAGGCTTTTAATAAAATCACATTACAATTTACATATTTATATCATCATCCAAGCTTGACAAGTTCATGAAGACACCAGAAAATTAAAGTGTTTATTTCCAGAATAATCATCAATGAAATTTGGATTTTAAAAGATGAATTGTTATCAGATAGTAAATTAAAATTGAAATAACAACACCATGGCTTTACAATCGGACACAGTGACTATCGAGGACCTTAATGCTGAGGAGACAAAATATTACCTCGGAGGGACAATTCTCGTGTGCATTTTGAGCATAATTGGAATTATTGGAAACTTGCATGTACTTTTGGTGTATGTTTTCCGTATGAAACAATCTAACCATCGTGTCTTCATCATATTTTTGGCAGTGCTGGATCTTATCACATGCACGGTGGGGATGCCATTTGTTGTCAGTAATTTTCTAAAACCGTTGACATTTTACGACACGACCATTTGTAAAATACTGACATTTTACAATTTCTTCATCTGCATTTCATCGGCAGGCATTTTAATTGTCATATCAGTGGACAGATATCGTAAGATCTGCATTCCTTTAGGTAAGCAGATGTCACAGAAACTGGCAAAGTCTATGTGTTTACTTGCTATGGGACTTTCCTTACTTTGCTCATGGCCTGCACTATTCATGTATGGTAGCACTCCTGTGCAGACTTCCGTACCAGGTCTCAATGGTAGTGAATGTAACATTCTCGTGGAAATCAAGGACACCTACTACCCAATATACTTCAACGCAGTTTTGCTTTTTGTTTCATTTAGCAGTTTTGTGGTCCTTGCTATTCTGTACTGCATTATTGGCAAAGCCATCTGGAACCATCACACTTTCAGCAGCAAAGGTGATGATACAAATACAGAGGTCACACAGGTCAAAATGAGCGACGTCAAACCCTCTATCAAAGCTGAAGCTACATTTCATTCAGGAAGCTCCGATTCCGGCGAGCACAGTAACTTAAGAGTAGAGGATACAGAGAAAAGTGTCGATACTGTAGTCTCTGACATTGATGCTCCGGTAAATTCGAAACGTCGCTCGTCTAGTTTGGGTCAGATACAGAAAGTACCAGTTAGTGCCCTACAACGTGCAAAGAACAAATTTGATCGCACAAAACGCACCACCATGATGTTATTCTGGATAACAATTATTTTCTTCCTCAGTTATGTCCCCTACCTGATTCTGCGAATCGTGTCCTATATTTATCCAGATTGGTATAATGGAATGTCTTTTGCAGGGAAAGTAACTTACAATACATTACTGTGGTGCGTTTATATAAACAACATGGCAAACTGTATCATATATGGATTTTGCGATCAGCGCTTCAGGCTGGAGGTTAAACGGGGTTATAACACTATCTGTAGAAGAAATTAATACATCTATGATCAATGAACATGACCTGATCAGTTGTGTGTTCTGTTAGCAAAATGGCGGCAGCAAGGACTCGAGCAAACTATTTTATATCAACATAAATCAGTATGAAATGTGTACACACAAAAATTGACTGTCTGACTGTGGACATATTAGATACAGCATAATACTTTAATGGACATAATCATTTTTGTTTCATTTCATTCTATAACATTTACTTGAAGAAATTGATTCTTTTGTTATTATCATAACTGAATGATAATCAATACACTGGTGGAATTGTGTAAAAGAATTGCGCGCCTTTAAATTGACTAAAAAATTGTACGAAAGGCATATCCATTATTATTATATATTGTATGAACTATATATTTATACATATTAGCTTTAAACCTATTACAAATTTTACACATAATATTACAAGTTTTATCTTCATACATTAAACCGCAAACCTACCAACTCATTAATAATTATAAATATAATAATCAAATGTTCATTTTCTTGTTTATTATTAATCATTTTATAGTGGCCATTATACAGGTCACCAGCATGTTTTTTTCTTCTTTCTCTTTTTAACTAAGGCAATAAATGGCAACAATTAAATGAAATTTTAAAAATCCTTAACTTTGTGTAATAGATATTTTGGTCGGGTTTATCGCCACACCAACACTGTGAAGGTCATATGGCAGCTTTCCAGCTTTATTGGTTGAAGAAAACCTCAGGTGTTCTTCCATGCATTATTTCAAGCACAAATGGGAACATGAGTTGAACCAACAAAGTTCCCTAAGGTAGCTGGATAGGTTTCTCACATAAGAGAAACCAAAGACCCTGGTGTGATTCAAACTAACAACAGTGAGGGGCAAGTGGTTTGCCATGATTTGAAGTTAAAATAATTTAAAATATTAACAATCACCATGATGTAATTTGTTTCATTGACTTGTCCTAAACAAACCCAAAGACAAACATTTTCTCCAAAAGATATTTTTCTTCCACTCTTAAATGTTAAAATATCACCTCATATAAAAATAACAATCACCATCCTATAATTTGTTTAATTCACTTGTCCTAAATAAACCCAATCATAATTATTACGTTTTCTCCACAAAATAAATTTTTTTTTTAGCATTCAGAGGGAAAACAACAATAACAACATATTTTCAAATATTCTTAATCTCCATTTACTCGTCATTATAATTATAGCGTGCAACTGAAAAACTAATCCTGAATGGAAAAGTAAAGAAAAGGTCATTAAAGACCAATCTAAAAATGTCATCAAATATGACAAGATTTAGCCATTAATGGATTTAAATGATTATCTAGAAAGCAGAAATTAAATAACTTCATTTAGAATTGAATGGAATTTACGTAACACCTTTTATCTCATCAAATGCAGCTCACAAGAGTGAAAATATCAATCAACCTTCAATAATTACATTAAATTTTTTTCCAGATGTGATGTTATTGATGCTTTTAAGGAGTAAACATCCCTGTTGTACTGAATAACATGTGTAACATGAATGTTGTCATGTTTTCACTAACTTAGTCTGGCTTTTGGACAAAAATCTTATACATTTTTTCAATCCTTCTCCCAAAATAAAAAATACGATCCCCTTTCCCAATCCTAATTAATACCAGCATCTACAACTGTAGTTGTTGTTCAAATTGTATATTCATAAATGGAAAGCCCCTGTTCTCTTGAATATATCATTACCATTATACACTTAAGTTCTTTTTTATATCTATTTGTACAATTTTTTTAGATCTGATAGATGCTGCAAGAAGTCCCCTTTCACAGCCATGTCCACCCTGCCCCCCCCCCATCCCCCTCCCTACCCCCCAAGTCTGTTTCAAGTACCATTCACCCAAAAAGCAGAGCCCTGGCATTGTAATATTCAGCTGTAAGTTGTAAATCCAGTAGTCATCCATATGAATTCTTTTCAGACTGGAGCCAAATGGATATTGAAGCAAACAAGAGGGCAATAATGGCCCTTGTTCACTTACTTGAGTCTAATTACTCAAGTTTATTTAGAAATACAAAATAAATCTTCATTCTAAGAAAACTTAATACAAGATTTTACTCTTCTTTTTTTTTAACCTAGAAACATTGTTTTTGACATAACTTTGAACTCATCTGAGGTAACACAAATATGAACATTCTATCAAAGTTTGATAAAAATCCAATCAAAACTGTGACCTGTGCAGGCCTTGAGGGTATAAAACTTTTTATGTATCTCATGATTTTCTTTGGTAAATAAACATTCTATGCTGCTTTTTAATCAATTAAATACCCGAGATTAAGTTTGAGCTTAGAAAAATTTCTTTATCACCTTGGACTCTGTTACTTTTTGACGATGAAAGCCAGATCAACTGACCTTCACTAATGGACCTTTCCAGTTTTTCGTAGCGGAACATTTAGCCACCCCTTTTCCATTAATTGCTAGGTCAACTGCTCACAAACGGTATCACAAACTTAACCAAGTGTTGTTTTGTGCAAACCAGGTCAACCAGTGACTTTGTATTATCTCAGTGTAGCAATTGGATAAGAAGTTAGCCAATTTACATAAAACTGTAAACACTGGAAAGGTCCATAGCTTATGTGTGCTAAAAACCAAAAAAGGTTTCTAATTTTTTAAAAATTTCATGTCTAGGTTGAGGCTCTGGCAAATCAATGCTTTTAAACAATATGAGAAATTATCGAGCAGTCAACACTTTCAATTTTGACAATAATTCACATTTTTTATATCATTAACCACTTCAAACAAGAACCGGTTGAACCGGGTGATGCTCCCCGAGAAGGTTCTGGACACAGGAAAGTATAAAAAAAAATGAACAAAGGGCAAAAACTCCAAAATTAGGCAAAGCGGAGTTATGTTTTTTTGCACTGCACTTCTATTCAATGAGATCTATCTATCTATAAAGTTTCCTGATGATATCAGAGTTATGTCCCAGGTAAAAGTCAAAGTGTAAAAATGAACAAAGGGCAATAACTCCAAAATTAGACCAGGCTTTGTTTAGGTTCTTTAAGCATAGCAGTTCTATCCAATTATATCTAGCTACCTACAAAGTTTCATGTTGATATCTCTAATAGTTTTAAAGTAATGTCCAGGTCAAAAGTCAAAAAGTAAAAATAAACAAAGGGCAATTACTTCAAAATAAGGCAAGGCAGAGTAATGATTCTTAAGCACTGCACTTCCACCCAATGTCTACAAAGATTCATGTTGATATCTCTTATAAATTTAGAGTAATGTCCCAGACAAAGTTCAAAGTGTCAAAATGAACAAAGGGCAATAACTCCAAAAGTAGGCAAGACAGTGTTACAGTTCTTGTGCACTGCAAACTTACTCAATGAGATCTATCTACCTACAAAGTTTCATGTTGATATCTCTTATACATTAAGAGTTATGTCCCGGACAAAGTTCAAAGTGTAAAAATAAACAAAGGGGGATAATTCAAAAATTAGGCAAGGCAGAGTTAAGGTTCTTGTTCACTGCACACCTACTCAATGAGATCTATCTACCTACAAAGTTTCATGTTGATACCTCTTATACTTTTAGAGTTATGTCCCGGACAAAGTTCAAAGTGTAAAATAAACAAAGGGGAATAATTCAAAAATTAGGCAAGGCAGAGTTACGGTTCTTGTGCACTGCACACCTACTCAATGAGATCTATCTACCTACAAAGTTTCATGTTGATACCTCTTATACTTTTAGAGTTATGTCCCGGACAAAGTTCAAAGTGTAAAATAAACAAAGGGGAATAATTCAAAAATCATGCAAGGCAGAGTTATGGTTCTTGTGCACTGCACACTTACTCAATGAGATCTATCTACCTACAAAGTTTCATGTTGATACCTCTTATACTTTTAGAGTTATGTCACGGACAAAGTTCAAAGTGTAAAATAAACAAAGGGAGATAATTCAAAAATTCGGCAAGGCAGAGTTACGTTTCTTGTGCACTGCACACCTACTCAATGAGATCTATCTACCTACAAAGTTTCATGTTAATACCTCTTATACTTTTAGAGTTATGTCCCGGACAAAGTTCAAAGTGTAAAATAAACAAAGGGGGATAATTCAAAAATTAGGCAAGGCAGAGTTACGGTTCTTGTGCACTGCACACCTACTCAATGAGATCTATCTACCTACAAAGTTTCATGTTGATACCTCTTATACTTTTAGAGTTATGTCCCGGACAAAGTTCAAAGTGTAAAATAAACAAAGGGGGGTAATTCAAAAATTAGGCAAGGCAGAGTTATGGTTCTTGTGCACTGCACACCTACTCAATGAGATCTATCTACCTACAAAGTTTCATGTTGATACCTCTTATACTTTTAGAGTTATGTCCCGGACAAAGTTCAAAGTGTAAAATAAACAAAGGGGGGTAATTCAAAAATTAAGCAAGGCAGAGTTTCGGTTCTTGTGCACTGCACACCTACTCAAAGAGATCTATCTACCTACAAAGTTTCATGTTGATACCTCTTGTTGTTTCAAAGTTATGTCCCGGACAAGAAAAGGGGACGGACGGACGGACGGACGGACGGACGGAAAGACGGACGGACAAGGCGGCGACTATATGCTCCCCCGAAATTTTTTCGGGGAGCATAAAAAGCAAAATCTTAAAAACATTTCAGTGAAAAAGATGGGATGTACAAAAAAATCCAACAACTTTAGGTCACACAGATACAGACATCCGAGTGAATACAATGGCTCTCACTCTCTACATGTATATTAAACTACAAACTAAAAATTTACCAGACAAATAGCATAGTCATATTACAGGGTTAAACAGACAGGTCTGGCATAAATGCTCATGTCAAAACTGGACAATGCCCAATTCTATTGTCTTTAACAACATTACTCTCACAATAAAATTTATCTTGATAAATTTTCTCACCTATGGTCTGAATTTGTAGTTTAAACATTTCCTCATTGCCCTCGGTAATGACCAGATATTCTCGGAACTGGTTGATGATTTCTTGGAAGTAGGGGCAGATCAAGGACTCTGCAGCGCTTGCTGAAATGTTAGGAAGAATGGATTAAAATAAAATCATCAACCTCCAAAAAGTTAGCTGAATAGCTTGTTCACATGACATTCAACAATTCCTTCTTAGAAACTCACAGGATACAAATACATGTATAATTATTACATGTGTTAATGATACAAATAGTCTTTATTTTTACCATAACATAAGCCACCTTCTCTACAAAACATTGAAAATTATTTTGAATTATGAATTTCCTTAAGCTTTGTAACAAGATTTTTCTTTTTTTATTAATCATGAGAAACTGTTCATGAATATTACAAAATTAACACAATGTAATACCTGTTGCCCCTATTGCACTAATGGCAAGTTCCTTCGGTCTAAGCGAAGTCGATGTTTTCAACACTGTCATGAGATGTTCCATTAATTGCTGCAGGTAAGGCTGGATGTCTTTTCCCAGATTTTGACAGAACATTTCCAACGCGTAGTAACTTCTCGTCAGACCACGAGGATTTTTGTCGCCCTCCTGACTTACTTGTAATAAATATTGGAACAACAGGGGAAGGACATCTGAAGCATACTTGCTAATGTCCGGCTGAAATGTTTATAACATATATTGTTACAATAATTTCTACTCCTTAAAGTAAGGTTTATACGAAATCTTGATTTTTTTCAAAATCACACACACACACACCTAAGGTTTAGACAAGACCTTATTTTTTATATATACACATAATCTTAATATAATTATAATACTGCACATTTGTAACGTCACTTTTCATTAGATAATCGTGACGTTTATATACAAGACTGCTGTCAATTCATGAAGAAATCTCACTTTTTTCTCTAAAGTTCGCAGTATTATAAATTCATTATAAATATTCCTCACAGGTTATATGGCCGTATATAAACAGTTGTTTGTCATATAATGCTCGCCTAGCAGCTCTGGTTATATTTACAAACAATTGTTTATATAGGTCCATATTCTTTAAAACTAAAATCAAAACAAATGTTAACTAAATAGATTGAAAAAAAAAATCTTAAAGTTTCTTTTTTGTTTTAAAACAATTTCTCAAAGTGTATGCATAAACCATGCTGCATCATCAACCAATCTAAGTTAATTTCAAGATATTTTTCCTTTCTCTTTTATTCTAAAGAAAAACAATTATCTTGACTGTTTTCATTCCAAAGTTGAGAAGACAACTTATAAAATTATCAATCTAAACAGTATACTTATAAATAACTTAATTTTTACAGATGGTTCTGTGAATATTATAATATAAGGGAGGCTACTCACCTGAAGATGTTCAGAAAACTGTCCTATAGCGAACAAAGCACCATTTCTAACATGCTGATCTGGATCACTCAGACCCTTGCATACACATTGTAACACAGCTTGCAGATGACTAAAATATACAAGATTTACAAGTTTTAACAAGTATAATATTTTCCAAACTTCTACAGTTTTATGAAATAATATAATCAAAAATAAATTAATTTATTGCTCTCAAAAGATAATAGATTATGATTAGTTTAACTGCCTGCACAATTTTTCTTCTGTTTTGATTATGGCAAAGTGAAAACTAAATCAGTCATGAACTTTCAAGCCCACATTTTGATAATTTATCTGATAATATTTCCTTGTTTAGTTTAAAACATATTCCAAATTACTGTAATAAGTCAGTACTTTTATTTATAGAAATCTCAATGGAAAGTACCTTGTAATTTTTATTTGTTTTTATAAAAAGTAATAAATTATGAAAATACCCACTATGCAATATCATTTTTCATCACACTTATTCAGCCTGTAGGATAAAATTTTCAAACAAATACAATGAGTTTGTAGCATTGCCACAAATTAGATTTGGCCACTTACAACAAACTTTCGGTAATGGAATACCTCAGTGACACCAATATCAGACATAAACCTTGAAACCTGACAGAATGATTCTTTGTTTTTATATCAATTTTTAAAACTCTATTTACTTGTTTGTAATGAAGTCAGCACAGCCCTCGGCCACAACTGCCATTGCAATAAAAGCTGCTTTCCTCCTTTCTGGTTTCTCGTCTAACAAAGATGGCTCGACCATCGACATCTAAAATATACAAACATGTACTGCACAAGCCTTAAAAAGACAATTCAAATCCGTGTTCATGTTTTTTGTTCAACTTTTTTCCGGTAGTTTTCAATGCAAAGCTAAAATGTATATGTATTTTAAGCCATACATTGCACAAATTTCATAATAATGATAATGCCTTTTTTACAAGAAGTTTTCATTACATTGAAAGAAAAGTGTTACCCTTTATTCTTCCTTTTTTTAAAATCTCATTGAATGAAAACTATATTATCACAAGTGTACACAATTACTTACCACAGGGGGTATAAACTTTTCTGGTGGAAGATGCATCGCCATAGTGTCTAGGACCTAAAACAGAAAACATTACACCTGTTAACCTTTTGTCTACTGCATTTACTAACAAAGACATTTTATTTACTGCATTTACTCACCAAGACAACAAGGATAAACAAGCTATAAAGCTTAAGCAAAAATGATGCGTGATCCAAAAGTTCTGTCACTGTGTTTAAATCTAGCTTAGTACAAAAATTGCAATAACTTAAGTCAATATACATGTGGACAATGCTTTATAAAATATCATGTAAAGTTTGGATTACATAACCCAAATCATGCTTAATCAACAATATATAAACAATTTATAAATACACAAAGGACCCCTCTATTACAAACACCAAGCTTTCCCTACTGAGCTAAGCATGCGCACCCACTCACATATAAATCACCAAATCAAGTGTTTAGAACATAACAGCATACCTGTGAGGCAATCTGTGACGGTCTCTGACTTTCAACGTCATCTTCCTCGTCATCATCTTCTTCATCGTACGTCTCACACATGACGGGGAACATTACATTCAATATAGGTAGTACCAACTGATTCTTTAATATTTGCTGCACAACAATAAAACAATTCAATTATAGTATAAGAGACAAATTTCAAAATATATTTTCACAATAAATGTACTTACCATAACCCTGTGCAGGATAACTTGATCAAATTGAATATGAATAAATATTTTTCACCATCTATAAAATTTTATCTATATATTACTTAATTTATAAATTGGACTTGACCTGCTTTTAATTTGTAAATGCTAATTTAATTTAAAATTGAAAACACCATTACCATGCTTAATAGTGATCATATAAGTTATAAGTTATCAATTAACACAATTTTTACCTTTTTCCGAAGTCTTGTTAGTGAACAAATAAATGACATCGCCTTCACTCGAATGTTATCATCTAATTTATTGTTGGCAGCAATCTGTGTAAAAAATATATATATGTATGAAACAAGTTTTCTAATTCAAATTAGATAATTTTTGGTTTTTCTCTTTAATGTCAATATAACCATTCACAAATTTGTCTTTAAAGCTCTATAATGAAGCCCATCTCAAACTTAAGAGTAAAAGTGGCCAAATGGACCTTTCAAAAGCCTTTTTAAGCACTTTATGACAGCATCATATTCATGAAATATACAATTCAACATGAAATTTTGAAAAAGAAAATCTGAAGTCAAACTCATCAATTATTACAGACTTCACTTTTAAGAACCATTTTTCTCTCACTTATAATGCATAGAAAACTGTCCAACAAAAATTACCTCCAAACAAAAGAGCACTGTGGACTTAAGATGTGGTGTAATTATGACAACTTCACACTCTAACATTTCATCAAAAACTTCAAATGCCTCACAGGCCTTCTCCTGTAATAAATCAGAGACTGAGTTTAAATAATGTTTTGTAAAAATGTTTTATAAATGAACAACAGCTATTGGCTATAGAAGCTAATAGCAATAATAACTGAATCTAGTCAAAACCACCCCAGCAATTCCATACATCATGATCAGACTCTATACTGTCTAATTTTGTATTTTGTTATACCAACATTCCGTAAAATAGAAATGGACTGATCCAAATCCAAGGGCCCTCATTTTAAGATAGCCCTCCCGACCTCCCAAAAGAGTATCTACATACTTGAAAATAACTGTACAAAGCAAATAGGTTTATCTACATCTATGAAAAAGACAACTTTTCTTTTTTTGGTGTAAGTAGATAGTTTAAAATATGATATGAGAAAATTTAAATGATAATTTTCAATACCAGTTCATACCTGATCTACGAGAATCAAGTTCTTTATGACTTGAAGGATTTGTGGAACGATTTGTTGCATAGGCTTTAAGGCATCATCTCCGACATAAAACACTACTTCAGACAAGGCTTTGATGGCATAGAATGGAGCAAGGCTACTCTGTTGGTCACCTAGGATACTAGATATCATGGTAACCATATCAGCTAGGTGGGGTTTGAGTTGTTCAGCGGCCGTGGAAGCTACAGAGAACAGCAAGTACATACCAATCTGTAACAATATAAATTGCCATTATAACATATACATGTGAGATAAAAACTAGAAAATAACAATGCAACACTTTGTAATTTAAGTTAAATTAATATTAGAAAATTTCAATGAACATGTTTTTATTTTTCGCTAATTAGGACAAGTTTTTATGCACTGAAGCCATTTTACTCCCCCATCTTCCCCCATATAGTCAAGACAAATTAGGAAGGTTAAACTCCCAGTATCAGCTCCTCCCTAGGAGGAACAACCTAATGCAAGATGGACTATATCTCCAAGAATATTTTTATAGCAAAATTATAGCCATTGGATTTCACCTTCTTTTCGGGTGAGAATAGGGATGGGACAGTGAAGCTTGGTTACCAATGACTGGTGGATTTCTTGATTTATGTTCCAATGCTAGATTTACACTTTATATTCAGCATGCCCACAAAGAATCTACTGACTTTCATATTGCCTTATACATTTATCAATTTTATGTTATGCATGTACGTTCAAAGTAAAGGAGTAATCTATCTTCATCATTTAAAAACATAGATAATAAAAATCAGTTATACCTCCCTGTGTTCTGGCACCTCACTTTTCACATGCTGGTTAATGAACACAAATAGATGAGGCCAAGCATTGGTGGGCAAGTCATGTTTCGCTGCCACGGCTATCACTTGGGCTATAGCTACTCTAACGATCTTTCTACAAAGGTTAAAGTTCAAAGTATAAAACTACACTTTAAAACCATCAATAAAGCTTACACAAAAATCTCAAAGATTTTAAGAGCCAAACTGCAAATTCATTCTCAAATTTAATTGAACAAACTTGATATAATTATTGTTGAAAATATAGACAATCATTTACATACATTATTTTAGTTTGGACATACACTGGAATATGAAACAAGATCTATACTAAACTTACTCAGGCTCTCGTAGCATCAACTGTAATATATTTTCTCTAATCCTGGAAAAAAAAGCAATACAGATTTAATGCAGCCTTTCCGAAAGACCGTCGGCCCTGACCGGTAAAAAATCAGAAGGTCCGATAAAAATATATGTATTGGCGGCCCGACGGTCCGGTAAAAAAATTAAGGTTTTATAAAAACCTTACATTTACCTAAATTCAAAACATATCAAAATGTTGTCATTACACAATATAAGCTCGTGCAATGCTTGTCAACTGTTATGCATTCTCATAATGCAAACTTTAATGTAACAATGTAAGATAAAAATATCCGACAACTAGTACAATTAAAAGGCAATAAGCGGCCGCGTAAATTACATAAGCGGCCCAGATGTGAAAGGTCACCCGCTATTAGTTTGTTTACACAAATGAAAGTGTCAGTGTATTAATTGGAACAATTTACGTCTTTAATCGACAGACTTAGAGTAATGCTAAATTACACGTGTGCTCAACTGGTGTTTAGCTATGAAAGATTGTCCAAGATGTTGACAAAAATTAAACTATACTGTGAAGGTACCAATATCATTGAACAATTAATCTGTCAACTTCACTAAATTACCGATATATATAATTCTGTTTACATATGCCAGACTTTTGCTGAAATTTACCCTCTCATTTTGCTAGTATATAGTCTGTATGGAATTAAAGTTTAAATAGCAAAATCCATTGAATACATGTATAACAATATTTATGTTTACATTTTGATTGTGGTGAAAAAAGATAACTTCACTTCGTTGATAATATAATTTTCTTTTTGTACACAAATTTTTTGACTGCTGACACTTAACAAGTGACTCAAAATGCTATACCAATCAGGTTTTTTTCGGTCCAGTAAAATCATGTTTGGTCCAGTAAAAATTTTCAGTTTACAGGACCTACTGTCCAGTAAAACTCAGAAGTCTTTCGCATAGACTGTTAATGATGTGTTATGTTAACTATGTAATAAGATTAAGAAAAGCTACAAACATCAAATTATCATTTCATATTCTATGACAATCTGATTTTCTATTACATTGTATAATTAACAATGTAAATATTTTCTTAAAAAAAAAACCCAAAAAACACTTTAATTCACTAAAGATATCCATAATATAGTTTTTCAATTTTTCAAGACCCTGTATTGGTAAATATTCAATACAATCATATAAAATAACAAAAACTCACGTTGGGGCGATGTCTCCTTGAAGGGCAGCCCACTGCTTGCCTTTAAGTATCTTCTTTCGCAGCAAGATTGCAGCATACTGACGTACCTATTCAAAGTCAAAATGATAATGGGTAAATAAAAAGTTGTTCCTGATAAGTTAGTTATAACAACAGGTAAATGAATTATTCACAGGCAATATAATAATAATAGTAGGCAAATGTAATAATAGTAGGCAAATGAATAATAACAAGCAAATTCGTTGAATTTATATCCCCCGCCGAGTACTGGTTATTATTAACACAACAACTGAAGACATAAGGCTTTATTTATATATTAATCATGGCATAAACTGTAAAATTCTTTGAACTTGAAGCCTTGTACCTTCAAACAAGAAGAGTTTTTAAGTTTTCACTATATACATATAAGGAAAATCTATGACCCCCTGGAGTGGGGCCAATTTTGACCCCAGGGCTAAAAATTGAACAATTTTGGCAGAGGACCTATATGTTATATCATATACCAAATATCAAAGCTCTAGGCCTTGTACTGTCAGACAAGATTTTTTAATTTTGCATTTATGAAACTCCTTTTCTGGCCCCATGTGACTGATGATTGTGATTGAAAATTACAAAATTTTACTAAGTCAAGGGCAATAACTCTAAAAATACTAAAAATATCCAGGCGAAAATACCCAGGTGCACAACTACACAACTGATCAACATTCCTGTAAAGTTTCATGACTCTAGCTAAAATACTTTTTGAGTTACATGCAACACAAGTTGAAAATTACAAAATTTTACTGAGTCAAGGGCAATAACTCTAAAAATACTAAAAATATCCAGACGAAAATACCCAGGTGCACAACTGCACATGCTGATCAACATTCCCATAAAGTTTCGTTTAATTCCAGCCATTAGTTGCAGAGAACTACTCCGGAAACGAAATTCGGACAAAATTTTACTGAGTCAAGGGCAATAACTCTAAAAATACTAAAAATATCCTGATGAAAATACACAGGTGCACAACTACACATACTGATCAACATTCCTGTAAAGTTTCATGACTCTATGTCAAATACTTTTTGAGTTACATGCGACACAAGTTGAAAATTACAAAATTTTACTAAGTCAAGGGCAATAACTCAAAAATACTAAAAATATCCAGACAAAAATACCCAGGTGCACAACTACACATACTGATCAACATTCCTGTAAAGTTTCATGACTATAGGTCAAATACTTTTTGAGTTACATGCGACACAAGTTGAAATTTACAAAATTTTACTAAGTCAAGGGCAATAACTCTAAAAATACTAAAAATATCCAGACGAAAATACCCAGGTGCATAACTTCACATGCTGATCAACATTCCCATAAAGTTTCGTTGAATTCCAGCCATTAGTTGCAGAGAACTACTCCGGAAACGAAATTCAGACAAAATTTTACTGAGTCAAGGGCAATAACTCTAAAAATACTAAAAATATCCAGACGAAAATACCCAGGTGCACAACTTCACATGCTGATCAACATTCCCATAAAGTTTCGTTGAATTCCAGCCATTAGTTGCAGAGAACTACTCCGGAAACGAAATTCGGACGGACGGATGGACGGACGGACGGACAGACGGACGGACGGAAGGACGGACGGACAACGCCAAAACTATATCCCCCTCCCGATTCCATCGGCGGGGGATAATAATAGTAAGCAATCGAAATCATAGTAAGCAAATGAATAATCATAACAGGCAAATGAGCTATCATAACAGGGAAAATATTTATAAAAGGGAAATTATTTATCATAATAGGTAAATTATTTATCATAACAGGCAAATTATTTATTATAATGGTGAATTACTTATCATAACAGATGAATTATTATTTATCATAACAGGCAAATTATTTATCATAACGGACAAATTATTATTTATCAGAACAGGCAAATTATTTATCATAACAGACAAATTATTTATCATTACAGCTGAATCTTTTATCATAACAGGTAAGAAGAGTTTCTAAATTATATTTATAAATTACACACAAAGAAAAGTACAACTCCTTACCTGTGCATTCTGGGAAGTACTTAGAACCTGACACAGACCAGACACAAGACCTGGATCCTTGAAAAGGCTTTTCAACTTTTGTGTAGACTGTAAAGAAAAGACAAAGCAAACTGAAACCTTTGTTTTCACAATGCACCTTTAATAATCAACTTCTGTAACATCATTCTTTTATTTATTCTCTTTTCTAAATTCCATTTAATATTTATTGTTTTTAATATATATATATATATATATATATATATATAGAAATAATAATGATTACAGACATGGAATGCCATAATTTAGCAACAATGTGATGTATCGTTAGGGTAAAGGAGTATTATTTTACTAATTTTATTTTAATTACTCCATAATAACTTTTCAAAACGTTCATATTTATACAGCTTAACTTTTTTCAATGTTGATCTTAGGAATCACATTTTCAAATTAATTTATGTGGCAATTTAATTAATATATGCCTGAATCTGAACTTTATGTAAAAAAAAAACACCAACAACAGAACATTGATAAAATCACAACAGGAAACTTGCAAAAGTATTCAAGGGCACTCATCAATCATTCATCAGGAAAACCTGTGTTATATACAGATGTACAGACAGATCATGGAGAAGTGATCCATATATGTTGCCACTACTCTGTAGCAGGCAACACAAAAAAGCATTAATAGAATAGTGCTCACAAATACGGTCTAGATCTTACTACATGTAATAATTTTTTATGTGTCAAGTCAATAATTTCATGACCCAACTAATGACAATTAAGCATTCAAGATTGTGGTGCCAAAACATTAACATGAAACACAAGTTGTGATACAATCACAATGCATGAAATGTTTAACATTAGAATTATGTACTCACACATAGGAAATTCTGAAAATATTAATTGACAAGGAATGACACAATGACTTAACATGATTTTATAGATAAATCAACAAGGCATTTTCACCCTATCACCAGGGGCAAAAGTAAGGCCCCATTCCCAATACAAAATAGTCTCTTTTTTCCTAAATAAATTTCAAAATAAAATTACATACAGCAGCGAAAAAGATCAAGCTTTTTCTAATTCAGAGAAAAAACAGTTTTTCTTGAAGAACATAAAGAACATGCAATAGGATTTTGAGCAACGTCTATCTGTAGATGCGCTGCCTAGAAGTAAATATATCTCAAATAATGTCATATTAAACGGGGAAGTCAAAGTCCGGGGCCGCAAAGCGGCCCAGGGCTTTGGCTTGCCCGGCTATAGACTACACGTGTATATTTAAAAAGAAAAAAAAACAAAAAAATATAGAATTCTATTCCTATCAGCGAAATTTTCAGTGTCATTTCTTGTTAGGCACCGTAAGGCAATAATAAACGGCGAGTAATCCGATAATTGACAAATCGCAACTTTTCAGCCTACAAGATAACGATAAAAGTCGAGGAATTATGGGCAGCCATCTTGGATGGGAACCATAATAAGCTGCAGGAAACCAGAACAAACGGAAGCAGTGTATTACAGTATCAAATGGCACTTGTAAAACGGAAAATGTTAATAAACTAGAGGATGCTTTTGTAAAAAAGCGCATGTCTCCCCCACTGCTGAGAATAACTGTGAATGGAAACAGGAATGGAAATGGAGATAAGATAATGTAAATACCCGGTAGTCACTTCAATGAAGGCTGTCTATGGATGGTTTCTATTGTTAAGGTTGTATGAGAAGATGCTTCCTAAACTGTTTGTTTTTAACCAGGTATTCAATTTTGAAAATCCTGGTTATTCAATCAGCGTATGGCAGGCGGGCGTCAAACGAAATTGCACTTGATGGTCATATCATATATAGTTTCACAAATGAAATTAAATGAAATTGTGTCTGCTCCATAATTCTTCAAACCTTTAAAGGATTTTGATGATACTTGAAACAAACGTTCATATTGTCAGATTTTTTTACACTATTGAAAGACAACTCAAATTACAATGTATGTAAAATCATGATAACTGTAGTGTGTTGGGATGACTCCACTCGTTTTCACAATGAAGCCTCTCTGGTAGATACTTGAAACAAAAATTCACCACATCCAGAGAACGTGTAGAGTACATGTTTCGTATGGCTGGTTCCAAGGTCAAGGTCTACTTGACACTTGAATGTCATATCATATATAGTTTCACAAACGAAATTAAAGGAAATTGTGTCTGCTCCATAACTCTTCAACCCTTTGAAGGATTTTGATGATACTTGAAACAAACGTTCATATTGTCAGATTTTTTACACTATTGAAAGACAACTCAAATTTCAATGTATGTCAAATCATGATAACTGTACCTTTGAACTACTGACCCCAAAAACAATAGGGATCATCTGCTCAATAAGACCATTCATCCTATGAAGTTTGAGAGCTGTAGGTCAAAAGGAACTCTAGTTATCATCCGGAAACGAAGAATGGACGGACGGACTGACGGACGGACTGACGGACGGACAGGGCAAAAACAATATGTCTCCCCCCAGTTTGAGGGTTGTAGGTCAAAAGGAACTCTAGTTATCATCCGGAAATGAGAAATTGACCAACGGTCACTGTGACCTTGACCTTTGACCTACTGACCCCAAAAACAATAGGGATCATCTGCTCTATAAGACCAATCATCCTATGAAGTTTGAGGGCTGTAGGTCAAAAGGAACTCTAGTTATCATCCGGAAACGAGAAATTGACCAACGGTCACTGTGACCTTGACCTTTGAACTACTGACCCCAAAAACAATAGGGATCACTGCTCAATAAGACCAATCATCCTATGAAGTTTGAGGTCTGTAGGTCTAAAGGAACTCTAGTTATCATCCGGAAACGAGAAATTGACCAACGGTCAGTGTGACCTTGACCTTTGACCTACTGACCCCAAAAACAATAGGGATCATCAGCTCTATAAGACCAATCATCCTATGAAGTTTGAGGGCTGTAGGTCAAAAGGAACTCTAGTTATCATCCGGAAACGAGAAATTGACCAACGGTCACTGTGACCTTGACCTTTGAACTACTGACCCCAAAAACAATAGGGATCATCTGCTCAATAAGACCATTCATCCTATGAAGTTTGAGAGCTGTAGGTCAAAAGGAACTCTAGTTATCGTCCGGAAACGAAGAATGGACGGACGGACTGACGGACGGACGGACTGACGGACGGACAGGGCAAAAACAATATGTCTCCCCCCAAGGTGGGGGAGACATAATAAAAATACTGACTTCCCCGTTCATAGGCTTTGCCTAATTTCATACTATTTTATAGGTCTACCCGATATTAGGTGGCAGTATCAGTGATTGGCCACTCCACCCTAAGGCTTACTATAAGATACCAAATACAAAACCCACCGATAAAAAAAACAATAACAATAATAATGCCACTATAATAACTATAGTAAGCCTTTAGCAGGTCTAGGATTTCATGATATTTATGGACTGTCCGTAATTTTATAGATAGTCTAGAAATTTAAAGATTATTCAATCCATAAATTTACAGATATTCAATGTGAAAAGTGCTGTTTTTAGTTCTATACTAAAATCCGCAGCTTCCGACAACTTGTTTTATTGATTGTTTATATTTATAAGGATAATGGGGTGAGTTCCATCTTTCTATGATGATTTTGATTTTTTTGTAAGAAGTAAAAATTGAAAGTTATCAAATTGTTCTGAATCTTACCATACTGTTACATAATGTTAATCATATAATATGTAACCTTATTCATTTTAACCTGCGGTTTTGAATTTTTATGCAAGTTCTATTTATTGACTGTCCGTAAATATCATGAAATCCTAGACCTGTTTAGGGGGTGAAACGTCTAGGGGTGAAACATCCAGGAGGTGTAAAGTCCAAACACCTTTAGGATTGAGACAAACATATCGGCAATCTCCTGGATTAAACCCCTATGTATATTTCAGAAGTAAAACGTGCTTATAGTACACTAAAGAAAACGGAATGAACCTTATATATACTCCTGGTTTAGACCCCGGGGTCTATTCCAGGAGGAAAAGAGTCAACTCGGCCCTATACCAACTCTGCACGGGTCAACTCGGCACGGGTCAACTCGGCCCACTTTACAAAAAATATATAACGTATTAACTTTGCTTTGCATGTTGTTAAGGTAAATGAATAATAAGAAATATCTTATTATTATATAGTTATACATTGTACTTCTGCCTCGTCAACTGATTAAAAATAATGACAGTTTGAATATTAAATCGGATGACAATTAAAAGAATAATTTCACCAATGATTGATCTAAAGTCACTGTACTCAGGGTTCCCGCTGTCGCTCGCCAATGGCGCCAAATGCGACAAAATATGAAATCTGGCGCATAAAATCTTTAATTGGCGAATTTAACTGGCGCCAACGTAAGATAAAAGCATCCGACAACTAGTACACTTAAATGTCATAAGCGGCCGCGTCAATTACATAAGCGGCCCAAATGTGAAAGGTCACGCGCTATTAGTTTGTTTATCAAACTGTATACTGTAACCCAACGAATATTCGCGACCAATTAATATTCGCTTTATTCGCGGATGGCCACGAAGCGCGAATATTTGTTTGCGCGAATAAGTCTGCACGATTTCGCGAATAAATTGGGAGAGAAATTTTTATTTTAGACGTTGTTCATGCAAAGCTACTTGACCGGATATATTCGAATTTTACGGGCACCTGTTAGGAAGTAATGAATTGTTATGAATATTGCCATAAAGCAATAAAAACACAAACTAAGTAAACTACTACTATTTTATAAATATCAAAAGAACTTTTTGTCAATATAGCAATCACTATTTCATTTACATTTAAAGTCATAATGAATTGATACAGTGTTCGAATATTTATAAAGAACGTATAATTCACTCATTTTGGACATAAGTCAATCAACACCCTAAATAGATTAACTTTATAAAAACAGCTAAACATGTTACAAACATTATCATTATTATGACACGCGCTTCTGAGCAATTATCGTCTAGTTTGTGTTTTTCACACGTCTGAAGGGAACAGACGAAAGAAAACTATTAGTCGAGAAAAACAAAGTATAATAGTGTGATACCTACCCTTTTAACGACATTGTTTAGAAATGAAGACGAACGAT